AGCCGTGACAGATATCATGCTTTCGGACTCCTCTTTCTCGGGACTAGAGCCATCCCAGCGTGAGTCCCTGACTACGTCTATTGTCAACCGCTCCCAAGGATGCTTCGTGTGGGCACAGCTTGCCGCTGAGGCAGTACGCCACCAGACCACCTACAATGAAATGACAACAGCTGTCCACAAAATGCCCAACACGTTGGGTGATCTCATTGACTACCACCTGCGCAATATCAACCTCAACCGTCTTGGTACGCAGAGCCTACTTGCTTGGTTAGTAGCTAGTGAGCGGCCACTGCGCATCCCAGAGGTTGAGCAACTGTTGTCTGTTGATCTGAAGTCCCTCAAGGTTTCGACTCGTCCACCAAATGTTGAGCGTGATGTCTTCCAGCCTCTTGGGCGGCTGATCTCCGTGCGTGATGGCTTCGTTTCTTTCCGCCATCCCATGGTCCGCGAGCACCTCCAGGCTAGAGCCCAGATGCGCCAGGAGCTTCCTTTTTCTCTGGCGGATGCACACTACGATCTTCTGATCCGCTGCCTGGCGTGGGTGCGCCGCTCGGTATCCGACGAGATCTCTGTCTCCTGGGACAAAATGAGTGTGGAGGTCCGCGACCGCTACCTGGACGCCTATGTGCTTCTTGAATATACCGCCCGGTACTGGCTTTCCCACATGCTGTCCTCGCCGATGGCTTCCTCCGACCGCGAGCTCTCATTCCCGTCTGCCTTCCGGCGCGCTCTGCCCGACACTGTGTTGTTCGCCCAGCTGGAGCTTACCAACCGTGAGTCGCAGTTCAGTCGGTCAAGTATTGTTGAATTGTATCGACTGGCAGTTGGAGTCCGCCGTGTCGTGCTCGGAAGCGATTCCCCGGCTGTCCTACAGAGTCTGATCCTTAGTGCTCGGGCGTCTGAGAAGGCGCGTACCTCCTGGGCTAATGATCATCTCTACCAGGCTTGGACGGTGAGCCGAAGTCAGCTGGGAACTAGCAGCACAATCACCCAGGAGCTGGAGCAGATGCTCGTATCCTCGCCGGCCGCTGGTCGCCTGACCAGTGGAGGAGGAGGCAAGTCTGTCACATTGAGAGAAATGACGATGACCGGCTGGGGCAAGTCCGACATCAGCTTCCCCCAGCGGCTCCAGTATCTTGATCGCCTCGTTAACATGTATCAAGAGAACAACCAGAATGATGAGGCATATAACGTTTCCAAGGACTTTTACCGCCAGACTGTGAAGACCTACGGTGCTCACTCGTCGGAGACCATGCAAGCCGCTGAATTTCTCACGAAGAACTTCGATATCGCACCTTCCGACGAGCTAGCTCTGGAATTGGCCAGCATCAAGTATGAAAACATGCTTCGTTCCATGGATGCGACCGACCCGCGCCGGGTGACTTACTCTCTCTACCTGGCTCAGCTATATGAGCAAAATGGTCAAGTGTCCAAATCCGAGACCGTGCTGTCCCGTCTCTGGACAGGGCTGTCGGCACGCGAGGCTGATTCCAAAACATCCTGGGACCAGAAGACCAAGGTTGCTTTCTACTACTCGCAATTCCTGCGTCGTCGGGGTCAATCTGACCGGGCCACGTCCATCCTCCGCGAACTTTCAGCCGACTTGGAAGCTGAGGGTGGCGTCAAGTCCCCAGAAATGCTTAAACGTGCCGAGGAGTTGCGGGGTGAAGCGCGGGAGATGAATCTGACCGATATGGACCGCGCACTCGCACTGGAAATGTGGAAGTACTACCAGTCATCTGGTCAAGTGTACTCATCTCAAGCAGTGTCCTTGGCGGAAACACTTACCGAGGGTATGATCCCCAGCCAAGATGCTACTACAGCCGAAACCGAATACATCATGGCAGGAATGTCTCCCGAAGACCAGGAGCTTCTGCCCGGCTGGATAGACAGCCTGGCCTCTGCAGGAGATACCCGCAACATGAAGTCCATCATGATGCTATGTCACCAGTTGTCTACTCAATGTATCCGGGAGGAAGAGTGGCGCAAGGGCTCAGACTATTCCTGGGCTGTGCTGAAGCATGCCTGGCCAGACGTCGAGGATGCCCAAACGAGGGCCAAGTTCTCTTCTGACCTTTCCCCGTTGATGTCTAGTCTTGCCCTTGACTACGCGTACTGTATTTTCCGTCGCTTGGATGTTAAGAGAGCCAGCATTGTCTACGGCAATGCATTCAAGGCTTCGATTACCGCAGACCAAGTTGCGGTGCCAGCTGTTACTACAGTGACGAAGACCGTGGTTGAGTTCTACGAAACCACATTCCAGTTTGACAAGGCGTTGATCCTCCTGCGACAGGTGAGCGAGTTTTTTGCCTCGCGCCTAGGTGCGCACGACAAGCACACGCTGGACAGCCGCTATTATGAGGCCGACCTGGCCTTGCGTCTGGACCGGCGTGCGGAGGCTGAAGATAGTTACCGTCATATATACAAGGCTTGCGTTCGTGAAGGCAGGATCTCCTCGTCTGGTGTTCGTGCGGCTGTGGCTCTAGCCAACCTTTACGAGCAAGACAAGAAATGGGATGCTGCGCTCGACGTTTATCGTCATCTCTGGCCGACCTTGGTGCACTTCGATGAAAAGGACGGCTACGACCGTGCTTTGCAGGAAGGATTGCTTCCTAAGACCTATGCTGGGTACATGGCCATCCTCGAGAGTACATCTGGACAAGCGGGCTACGAGGAGCGTTACCAGGTTGCATCACAGCACCAGCAGCTTTGCCGTAAGCTGTATGGAGCGACTAGTCACCGTACCCGAGACGCAACCATGTATCTCGCAGCGCTCTGCGCTAGCAGCGACCGGCATACCAGCGAAGCTATTGACCTGTACCGACAGGTGCTAAAGACCAGCGACTGGGTGTCTGCCACGGAGGCGTCACGCTCTCTGCCTGACATGACACAGCCGCTACCCATGGACATCAAGCATCGCATGGCCCAGCTTCACTTGCGCAACAAGGATACGTCGCAACAAGCTCGCGCGTTGTACATCGAGGAGTTGGCACTCTCCAAGCAGCAGCAGGGTCTCTCTGCGCCCACCACGCTCATGTGGCTACGTGAAATCGCTCGCTTGTATTCTCTGCAGGACAACATTGAGTCCCGTCGGAAAGGTGCCGACCTACTCAATGAACATGTTGATGAGGTCGTCCACGTTACCGCCAACCAAGACGCTCTGATATATCGCGCCCGCCGGCTGGCAGAGATTTACCTGGAGTGTGGATATACTACCGAGGGCTGGGCGCTTATCGACAGTCTGCATCAGCAAGTCATCCACGACACCCCCGCAGCACAGCGAAAGAATCTCGAAGAGTACCGACCGGCAGTGTTTGTAGCATCTTTCGAGGAGGTCTTTGGCCGCACACGCAGCTCGAGCCAGATCCTGGACGACTTGTCTCGTGAAGGCGAGGTGTACAACGTCTTCCAGCAGAGCCTGGCTGGTCATGATCTCATGCCCACCCTTGCAGCTGGCGAGAGATTGCATCGCTTGCAGACGGAACAGAAGCGCAGCACGGCAGCACAGAGCACCCAGAACAAGCTGTACGACTTCTTCTGCAACACACTTTCTGTTTCGCAGTCAGCCCGCAAGAAGGATGCTGTGTATCAGTTTTATTCCTTGTGTCGGCGCGAGTCATTGCATGATGACTACAATCTCAACATAATCACCCAGACCACCAGCATGGTCCGGGATCTATGCAACCAGTCGAGATTCCAGGAAGCCACTGATGTGACTAGTGTGTTCCATTCGTTCGTACATCTGACCGATGGACTGCGCTCGACGGAGAGCATCTTCATTGCGATCAAGCTGTGCTTGTACCTCTGCGGTTACCAGGTGAACAAGTGCACTGAGACTACCACGGCCAATGCAATGTCTCTGGAGTCGAAGACGCTTCTCCAGGAAGTCATGAATAACGCACGCGATATCCCTATGGAGTTCTCGGAACTTCCATTCGAGGAGCTCAACGATTTGGTAACAGTGCTGGGAGAACACGAGATGTTCCAAGATCTCGAGGTAGGTTCCCATCCTCCAACTCATACGGTATCCCTTTTAACAGGACAGGTTATTCTCACCGACCTCTGGACCTCTCGGATTGTCCAGAAGACCTGGACACTGCCCGCAGTTGTCTGGATTGGCCGGCGCCTGGTCGAGACCCGGTTCTGCCGCGGCCATGTCACGGCTGCCACGACCCTGGGCAAGGACATTTGCTACAACCTGCGCCAAGTCTGGGGTAACTCCGACCCCGTCACTCTCGAAATGAACAAGCTGCTTTCCGGACTGTACACGGCGTCCGGAAACAACCTTGCTGCGGCTGCTCTGCATGAGACAGCCCTGGCAGAGCTGTTGAACGACGAGACAAAAGACCAGTCAGCTGCTATCAACGCCGTCACTCAGCACCTGGAGCTGTTGCAGCGGGCACAGGCTCGTCTGGCCAAGGAAGGGCAAAGTGCAGCCATCGATGCGTCGGCGGCTCAGGAGCGCGTGCAGCAGATTGCAACCAAGTTTGGCCTGTCATCGGCCAAGCTGGAGCAACCGTCCACGGCGGATGATTCACTTGGCATGTGGGAGCGCCCACGGCGGTTCAGCTTGGATGTCGAAGAGGCAGCCAAGCACTCGAACCATCTGCGTCAATCTAGCGGGTCTGCGTTGCTGACCGGCAATGCGGGTGCGAAGAGGCTTTCGATTACGGCTTTGTAAGGCGTTGAAGTAACAGATTGAAAACCAGATTGCCAGTCTTGTAATTAGGTGTTGCGGTGTTTATAGTGTTATAGTAATGTAATAATACTGTTCCTTCCGTTAATCTTGCTACCAAGATGGATCTCATAAGTTTCCTAAAGGACAGTCTTTGAATCTTCTATATAAGTAATCCTGGAAAACAAACAAAAGAGTGAAAGGTACTGGCTTTATGCTTCTAATCTGTTTGTTGTTGAGATTATAATATGACAAGGATACTAGATCACGTTATTTCCGACCAGGCACCGCTGATCAAGGATGCAATGAGTTTGCAACCTCCACTCTCACCTTTAACACAACATAATGGCTACCACCATCACACTACCATACTATGCCTCTGACATTCCTTGCCCGCTACCCACAACTTCAGAGATCGATGCAGCACCCGACATATCCTCGGAGTATGGAGGCCGAAGAATCGTTGAGATCGGAGACCTCTCTGGTAGTGAAGTTCGGAAAAGGCGTGGACCTTATCGAAGGAGAGAACATGTTATTTGTTCAAGGAAACACCAGCATACGAGTCCCTCGAGTCTATACACTTTACTCGGATCCATATACGGGCAAGAACTACATCGTTATGGGAAAGATGCCTGGTCAAACTCTTCTGTCCCTGTGGCCACAGCTAAGCCCATCGGAGAAGGAGATTATCGTCACTACGCTTTATAACTACTTCAACGAGCTACGAAGTTTACCGCCGCCAGATTACTACGGTAGCTTGGGCGGATGATGCCTTCTTGATGGAATATTCTGGACCAGCGATCCTGAACCAGCAATTTATGGACCTTTCACATCGGAAAGTGCTCTTATCGAGGCAATGGCGCGGAAATATACCTACGATGGTCGGCCGCGTTTCAGAGCTGAGTTCTACCGCCAGTGTCTACCGCGTTTGCTCCGTAGCAGTGGTCCGACGTTCACCCATGGTGATCTTCAGCGGAAGAATATACAGGTCCATAGGGTGTTAGATGAAAGTGGTGGGAATGGAGATGGCATTCCAAAGCTAGAAGTTACTATTCTTGACTGGGAATTGTCGGGTTGGTATCCAAGCTACTGGGAGTATTGTCTTGCTGTCTGCGCGCTACGGGTGGGATGATGACTGGTGTCTTTGGATTGAGAAAGTGCTGGATCCTTTTATAGCGGAATCTGCGTGGTTTCAAGCGATTCGGCTGGAACTGTGGTCTTAGAGAGCGTATTTTTCATGGAAAATTTCTCGATCGGAAATCGCATACCGCAGCGAAACGCCACGCGTAGTGAGTAAATGTCCAATACGGGCGCATAAAGGGGTAACCACTGTCACGTCACACAGCATTGGAGATACTCTTCTCCGACAGGGGGTCAATAGATCAAACCTCCCTCCGTAGTCAGTTGGCAGGGCGGTCTACTCAATATGATCAACGGAATGACAAATAACTATACTGCTCTGTGCGATCTTGGACCCTCCGCCCTTGCAACGTTGGGACTCCCAACCCTGTGAGAGCCTTGACGACAACAGAATGTGCACGGCAGTCAACAGTCGCCTCCCACAAGGATCTTTTCCGCTACACTTCCCGAGATGGCTGTAAGTGCTATGATATTAGTATCCAAAGTAATACCAGTCAGGCTAATATCTTGTAGTTTCAATGAAAACCTGCGTCTAGCAGAACGCTTCCTCGAATTTGATGTGCTTGCGCTTCAAAACATCGTTTCTAGTGCATCTAGTCATTCAATATCCGAACTCCAATCCTTTACTAGGTTATCAGAGGGTGGATACAACCGCGTGTTTGAGGCTACCTTTAGCGATGGTAAAAGTGTTCCCGCGTGACTACCTCATCCAAGTACAGTGCCAGAGCATCACACAGTAGCGAGCGAAGAAGGGACTCTGGGCTACCTTCGCCTACATGGGCTTCGCACACCAGAGGTATATGCCTGGTGCTCAACGAAAGCTAATCCAATTGGAGCTGAGTATATCATCATGGAGAAGTTGGATGGTACTCCTCTCGGCAATAAATGGTTTTCATTGGGCCCAAAAGAGCAGTATAAAATTATGACACAAATAGTTGAATGGGAGACGCGTTTGATGTCATTGAACTTTCCTGCCTCTGGGAGCCTCTACTATTCGGATCTCCCATCCGGAAGGAGGACAAAGCTAGACGATCTGGACGGCATGGCGTTCTGTGTAGGTCCAATAGCTCATTATAGTTGGTGGCATGGTGAAAGAGGCATTATGGATGTTGATCGCGGACCCTGTGGGTGAATCTATCAGGTATCATAAGACTTACAACACTAACTTCACCGGGAGAAAAGGGCCATCATCAGTCGACATCTTCCGAGCAGTTGGCGAACGTGAACTAACCTGGGCCAAAGCCTATGCAAAGCCTCGCTTGCCCTATGAGCGGCTTTATAGGGAGATTTTCAAAACCAAGCGTGTCTCACCAGGTACCCACGTTACAGATCTTGTCAATTACCTTGAAATGGTACCCAGTTCAGGTTATTGCAATTCATCCTTGGATGACCAGTCATGCGCCACCCCGACCTACAGCCAAACAATATACTCGTGTCTGACACGATTGAAATAACTGGCCTTATAGACTGGCAGCATTGTGCGATTCTCCCTCTCGGTATTGTTTCTGGGATTCCAGCTCACTTCCAGAACTATGGCGACCCAGAGTCAGAACTACTTAAACAACCTTAGCCTAATGTGCCCTATGATTACGAATTCCTGACACCGTCCGAGCAAAATTCAGTTAAGGAAATTCATCGCAGAAGAGTGATTCATTTCCTCTACGCCGCCCTGACTAACAGACTAAATCAATGTCATTACGACGCTATCTTTGACTAGTCAGTTATACTCCGACAACGCCTTTTCCTGAGTGCCGGCACACCTTGGGAGGGAGACTCGGTATCACTGCGTGCTGAGCTCATTCGCTCAATATCGAACTGGTCGGCGGTCGTCGAATCTACTCACGTTGCTCCGCCGGTGGACTATCCAGAAGACGTTGTCCGGGAGACTGTTGGCTTGGATGCGCAGCAGAGAGAGGCTGATGTGGCAATGGAACAGGTACGACATGCTTTAGGGATCGATAATATGGGCTGGGTACCGAATGAAGATTATGAGGCTGCGAGAAGACTGGCATCGGAGATAAAGAGTAAAATGCTTGAAGCGGCAGAGACTCGTGATGAAGTTGTCGCTATCCGAGATCATTTCCCTTTTGATGATTTCGATGAAGGGGCTTAAGGCAATGTTTGAGAAGTTAGTAAAATTGTAAGGAGATTCGTTGCTGGCTGATGCAGCAATGGGCCTGACTATACCCTGAGCTGTTAGTTTGAAAGCATGATTCGACGGCAGCTCAGATACTTAATGCATATATTAACCAAAATGTATAGATTCTGGGTGTAGCATAATACTAGACGATTATTGACCCAAAAATGTCAGATCTCCATAAAAGAGCCCTGCCGCGCCGTGGGAGGGGTGCGGGAAGAAGAATTGGTGAAAAAAAGAATGACCAGACTGGGGCTCGATCCCAGGACCTTATCGGTGTTAACGATACGTGATAACCAACTACACCATCCGGCCAATTCTATACATGTGAGTAAATTGTTACGCAATATGAAAGGGTAAAGATTTAGTGGTGGAGCGTAGCATCGGGCACAAGGAATCCTTTGATCGTTTGGTTCATAAAAAAAAAGCCGCCATGTCCAGAGCCTTTTTTACTGCGGTCAACATTTGACCAAATGGTTGGAGTATAGCAAGATGTACTTCCATCAGATTAGAAAGGGGGCAGTGAAGTGATATGGGACAGGAGGTGCAGTAAAGTTAAGGTGTTTCAAGAGGGCTTCTGCTAAAACGTATATCAGAAAGTTGGGGATATTTAATCTACTTAATACTATACAAAGAAGTTCAAAAATTGCCCAATCTTGGAAGACTGGTCAGCTTACCGAACATCTAGGTATCGTAATGATAGCAACGGCCCTATACACCGGTCTCATACCCACCCCGCGCGGATAAGGCGAAGATCCTCAGTGCTCGATTCAAGCCTGTTGATGGTCGAGCTCGCACCCATCATGTATATGAAGATGGCACGGGTACCTTCGGAAAGGATGGTGTTCGTGAGTATTTAACTGCTCCCACGCGGAGGGCTTGGGAAACACTTGGAAAGTTAGGTCAGAGTTAGATTGCATTTAGACATTCTAAATTGCTTTCATAGCCGTGATACCTGATCTTGCTCTGTTCTCCTGTGGTGCGGATTTGACATCGTAGAGTCTCAACTTTTCTCCCTGGAATCGAACTCATGTTCATATTGTCTTGCATCCCACTCAGTCCAACCCGCTTGGTCTCTGAGTAGCTTTGCTGCACCGAATTCGGCATTCTTTTCTGCCAGTTTAACTGCTCGAATGTATTGGCGGCGGCCACTTGCCACAATTGATGCACCTTCATTCAGAAGCAACTGCAGCATATCAATGCGACCATGTTCCGCAGCCCCCTCCAATGCTGTTCTGCCATTTACCAAGGACTTTTTTGCGTTGACGTCGGCTCCCTTTGCCAGTAGTTTGCGAGCGATAGCGATGTATCCTTTGATTGCAGCAAATTGGAGCGCTGTCCCGCATTGAACATCAGCCGCACACTGATTAGGATCTGCTCCAGCGTCCAAAAGCATGTCCACTATTTGAACATTTCCACCTTCCACCGCGGATTGTAATGCCGTCCTTCCAAACTGAGACGAGACTGGTCGGTTGACATCTGCCCCTGCGTCAAGGAGGACCTTTACAATGTGCCTGTTTCCGGTGTTCACTGCAGCGCAGAGGATGGGTTTCTTAAAGCCACCTTGCTTGGCTCCACCCCACAATAAGCTCCATTCACAATCAGCACCGAGAGCAACCAGGCGTCTAGTTAGAGAGATATCCTGCCTCTTGATGGCGAGCCAAAGTGGCGGATAGGAGCGAGAACTAATCCGGATCGCCTGATTCACATCCGCACCGGCATCCAATAAATCCTGTACCGCGGATTTGTGACGGTAATGCAGAGCTGTGGTGAGCGCTCGTCCTTTTTCAACCGCAGTCCATGTTCGAGAATGTAGAAGGGTCCTAAGTGACGCACCATTTCGCCAAATGACTGCTCTCTCAAGGATAGAATCGAGAACTTCGCAGTCGATGACTCCGTCCAGCTGGTACAGGAAAATATTGTCCAGAAATCCGCTAGCAACAACTTTGCCTCCGGGGTCAAGACCAATTTCTAAAAAGCGCCGCACAAGAAAAACAAGGTGATCATATTGTAAAGCCTTCTGGAAGGCATTTGGGACAGCACAAGGCTGCTGTGACAAATTGTCCAAAAGCAGTTGAAGAATTCCAAAATGTTGCGAACCGCATCGATAATCCTCGACTGCTGCTGTCAGTTCAAGATCTCCGATGCTTGCTCCTCGTAAAATCAAAAGCTTTGCCAATGAAAAGCTCTCTGGGAAACGTAAGTAAAAAATTGCAGCTGCAAGCGGAGATAGGCAAACAGGGGCGTAATCCAAAAGCCTCCAGTACGGCCCAAACCCAACACGCTGACGTGAACACTTTGACATCATCGAAAATGGCTTAAGACCGACATTTTTAGGCTGCTTGTCGACATTACGATCGAGCAAATATCGGACAAGGCCATTATCGCTTCTCCGCGACATCCTAATGGCAGACACGAGTATCGGTTGACCATAGCGATGGAGGATTTGAGGCAGCAGCCCAAGCTGTTCCAAGTACATTGCAGTTTCCAAGTTTCCGATTTGAATCAGGCTTTTTCCAGTTCTTGTCGCTCCAGCTTGGAGAAGAGATCCAACCATTTCGCAGTGGCCACCTACTATGGCTGCGCCGAGGATGGTGTCTGGGACCTTGTCGTAAAAAGTTTCATTCTTCCTTGCGCCCCAACTCAATAGGGAAATTGCAGTGTCGAGATTGTTCATCTCCACAGTTTTGTACAGTATGGAGGTATAGTAATCCTCCATCTGAGTTGGCTCTACTCTGGACCCATAGGAGATGAGCAGTCTGGAAGTTTTGAGATCGTTCCGCTCAAGAGCCCGTTGTACGAGGTTCATACCTTGGAATTTATCACCAGTAGAGACTTCTGCACCCGCGGATAACAGACGCCGTGTGATATTGATGTCACCATATTCAACCGATAAGACGAGTGGGGGGGCGTAGTTACCTGATGCCTCTTGGTGGTTGATATTTGGATGGGTATCCAAAAGAAGACTGATTATGTCGTTGTTGCCTTTTCTTATCGCGAGTCCAAGTGTGGTTGACTTGACAATCCGGTTTCCACGGAACTCAACGTGTTGGATTGCGTCAACATCCGCGCCTAAGGCAAGCAGATATTGTGTCAGAGACACATCGTTTCGGTCCACAGCAAGCCCGAGGATCGAAAGGTCCTGTGAACCACCGCTTCGTTTGTTAATATTGGGGTCAATATCAAGGAGCATAGAGAAAAGGCCTGGGGTTCCCGTCTTAATTGCGGCGCTTAATGCCTCTCCTGGTATAGGAATATTTCGACCCAGAAATAGTTTGATGAGCTCATTATTTCTTGAGCGGATTGCTTCACAGAGCGCCCTTTCTAGGATTTTGACATCCTTGAGCCCAGAACCATATGATAGGAACAAGTTGCACATGTCCAAAGCCGCTCGGGAGTCTCTGAAGTTGGAAGCCAGCATCAAAGGTCGCACGGGATATCCATCATGAATAATCGGTATATCAGGACTCATACCAGCTTCCAAAGCCATCCGAACTATCCTTACGTCCTGGGATCTCACCGCACTTGCAAAAAGCTTGTGCGATATAGCATGTGCTGTTGCCCCGGGGAGGGAAAGTAGATATTTTAGGTTGTTGACGGTATCCAGGCCCGATTGATAGAATGTTGCCATGATCGTTTGATCTTCCTTGCTAGTCCTAGGCCCTCCTCGCTTTTTATCATGAAAATAGGCATTCGTCTCATAATCGGAGTCATCATCCGTCTCGTCATCCGAGTATACTTCCAAGAATTCTCGTATATTTGATTGCCCAGAATCATCATCAGGCTCAGAGACTTTAAAACTGTTGGAAAGCAGGAAAAGTGCAACTTGTAAGCGCTCCACGGCATCACTGCCACCTCTGAGACCGCAAAGTCTTTCTGCTATGTAAAGGTTTTGACCTTCGTGTTGTTCAGGCATTATTGAGCTCAGAGCTGCTGCTACCCTGGAGCTATTGCGTCCGGTGCGCAGCACTTTGGCATGATTATTGATCATAAGCGAGCCGAGAGAATCAATGAGACCACGTTCTATGATTTGGGAAAATAGGTCCTTTTCCCGAATCCCTGGAAGATGTTCCAGTGAAATAGATGGGTTGCCTACATCATGTTAATGTTAATCAATCTCACACAGTATTTGTTGAATGTGAGTCTTACTCGGGACGTTTTGTAATCTGCTTAGCGCAGGTATGGAGAAAATGAACCATGGGAGATTCTGTGGCCATGTAATTTGGAAGATCGACGGACCAGGGGAGCACACAATAAGTCCTTCAGGTGTTGGGGACAATGGTTCTATGTTGTTGTGTCAATCATCTGAGTTGAGCATCCTTAACTAAATTCTGGACAGGCTCACCTCGACGATACTTGTCAATCTCTCTCTGAAATCCCTGACGATGAATCTCAAACTGAACTGTTTTTGAATCGTAATAGACCCCATCGAACCAGACTTCGAGATTCTGTCCTTCAGCTGCCCTCTTTTGTATTTCCCGGTTGACGTGTCTCCACTTGAGAGCGCCCATGCGATATTTCTTGAAACCCCATTTCTTAAATCTTGCCGTGTATTGATTTTTCCTGCACAATGTGAGATTCTGACCGGCTTAAGTCCATAGGAGCGTCGGAGTGCATACGTTTTGCGAAAGCCATGTGTTGTTTCCATGAATTGCAAGACCTCCTCTAGCTTTTTGTTCTCTCTGATGTAAAGGCGTTCGATCTCTGCCTTGTGAGCCTCCCATTCTGCATCTGCCATGGTAACATTCAGGAATAAGAGTCTATCAAATGGCAGAGTTGAGGAGCACAGAAGTCAAAGATCGCATCCGGAGTTGACTCAAATATTCTACGTTGGAACCTTCTATGTATTTATTTGCGGGTGATTTAGGGCGGGGATAAGGCTGAGCGAGGTATTCGGAGGCTGTAAACCCCTGATTTCCACGTCATCACCGCCACATTGTTGCCAAAGTATGCACACTATGCGGCCCGAGGAATCCTGATTGGATATAATCAAAATTTGGTGAGGTGAGGATGCGCCCCGCTCACCTTGTTTGACATGCTATGATCGGGCAAGCGTCTAGAGCCCTGTGGCTGGACGCAAGAGAATCCCATTCAGTGATTAGCTGAAATCCAAATTTGGGGTCCACTACGCTGATCGGCGCGATCAGCCCCAACCCTCGTCATGCAAGACGAATCTCCATAGTCCTTCTTTAATCTAGAGCGGGATGAAGATAGAATACGCTGATTGGTTCTCATCCAATTTGTGATGAGGCACGAAACGTTCACTGACAAGAACAATATCTTGAAAAGTCTACTGTGGTAAACGAACTGTTCGCCCAGGGCATCAACGCCCTAATAGTGTTGTATATAAGTCCCCTTTCTGTTCATAGTATATCTTCAAACATTTTGTTCCTCAAAGCAACAACGCTCTCCAGCTTCGAAAACCTTTCGCTCTTCAGTTATCTCCTTGGCCTCAATCCCCTCTCAATACCTTGGTCATGTCGTGGACTCCGTTCGATATCGACAGGTGTGCGCCCGAGCTCTGGAGACAAGGCGCTGACCAGTTGGTTGGATGGCCCTTAGAATCCACACGAAATATTGCTCAGGATTCGCTCTTCCCGATATATGAGGAACAGGACAGTTCAACCATCAATCATTCAATGTTCAATCATTCCCTTCAGCCAACCTCAGTACCGCCCCTATTCGATTATACACAGGCCCCAGTGGTCTTTCAGGCTGATACGGGGACATCGAGCGAGATGGCTAATGTCATGTTGTCTGGGTGCTATCAATACGACGGCAGACCCATACAAAACGCCGACCAATTTCCGATATTGGATCAATCCCTAATGCACAATGTCGATCAGAACGGTTGTATATATCAAATGCCGATGTCGGAAGTCCACAATATATCTCCCAAGAAACCCAAGGCTTGGTATTTTCTTCTTGCTTTGTCATCCTCCTCAGCTTCGCTGACTATTTTATAGTATCAAATGCGTATGGAAAGGCTGCAAATACAGTGGTGGTTTCAAAAGCAAAGCCTCATTGAACCGACACATTGAAACACAGCATGTTTCTCCCGGAAAATATCGATGCACAATCCGTGAGTGCCACAAATCAATCAACCGGAAGGATAACCTGCGGGAGCATTTGCGTCGGAAGCATCACATATATCTTTGAAGAAACTGGCTTTTGTTTTGTCAAGTGGGCTGGAGAATTGCCAATAGTAGTAATCAACACCATTTGACATGTTTGACCTTCACTCTTGAAAAATATAGCTTTACGAGGGCAGCATTTTAGACGAAATGAGGATATGAGTCAATAAAGAACGGGACAGAAGATGATTCAAAGTAAACCGAATCAGCATGAGTGAAAACTCTGTTGAAGTTTAAGGGTCCGTATTCATTCTGAAGCCACGAAGCACACAAAATCATGAGTATAAATATTGCCATTCTGAGTAAGAAACAATAATCGGAGGAGATGAAGATAGCAAGATCTTGCCTTCTTAGACAAACGCTGCGGCCGCCTTGTCTCTACAGTAGCGACCTCCAGATCATGCATCGATTGCTTCGTAGGAAGTCGACAGCACAGTCCTCATTCTATTCCGTCCAAAAGTGCCCTGTAGAATAGCTGGCTAGGTATCGGAGCTCTCTCAGAGCCTGGACGCGCCGGAGGTGCAGCCCAGGCAGGCTCTGATTTCAAACCTAGGCCCTTGGTCTGGTGAGTCGGTGTGAACGGGAATCTTCACGCCCACTCAGACCCTGGTGTAAGTATGATGTTGTTGTCGGCATCGGATCCGGGCAGTACGGGCAATCCTTGGGTGCTAGAGTCGCATTCCTCGTAGTGAATGACTACGGGGTTCAAAGGCGAGCCAAAAGGTTCTGAATCACAAATCATTATAGGGCTGCCTTCAGAGCCGAGATCGCCAACTTTATGAGAAATACATATAAATACGCAGAGTTGCCGAATCGAAGGACAAGCAGCCTGATATTTATTTAGTTCATTGAATCAATCAATGGCTTGCGTGAATATGGGGTCCGCGTGAGGAGGCCGCGATGAAGGGGGTTATATAGAACCGGTCGGGCGTCGGCGCTAAACCGCATATAGTAATTCAATGTTGCGACCGGAGAAGCCCTTATTTTAGATTCTTATCACTAAACAAACATTTGACGGAGGACGTGGGTCATCACTTCCTTTCAAAGCTTACAAGCACAGTCTAACCCTAAAACTAACGCTTCTTTCTTCTAAGTTACGTTTATCTTCATCGAAATTCATTCCTTGAGCCTCGCAGCAGAACTAGTGCTGGCTCCAGTGCTGCATTCCCCTTAAAGCGGTCGGCCTTACTTATATAGTATGTCCGCTTACACCATCATCATTGAGCAACATTTCGATCATCAGATCTTATCGAATCGGCTGCTACTGATGAGTAGTAATATTGGCTAATTCTAGAAATACTACTAGTACAACATGTCTTCTACAGCGAAGCCGTGCGTAACTTCCAATTGTCACAACAAACGATTCTGTGCTGACGTGATACCACGACTCATTAGAACCACGCTAAAGTAGCCTTGCATGTCTACAGCTCCTGCGAGATCCTACCCCCACCTCGGAAAACAAGATCATGAGGTCGGTTGAGAGGGAGGGAATTGCGGAGAGGTCCGAATAGATGACTCTCATCCCTGAATACCAATACTATGTCCATCTACTAATTATCTGATTTCATTACAGTTCCTGCGCGGCATATGCAGTGGCTGAATTACCATCTCGACAAATTCTGTCGCCTGTCACTTCTTATGACCCGGCGACTAGTACGACTAAGCACCCGGAATTCCTTCAGCCAAACAGGTCGATCGACACCCGCTAGTGGTATTTAGGGGCCCCCTCTGGCTCCCGCTCCTTCTCTCGTGCTTGCTATTCGAAAGCAAATCCAGAACACTCCACCCTAGTCACTGTCCAAGGATGGCCCAGATGCAACTCATCTTATCCAGCAAACACCGGAAGAGCACCGGGAAGAGATCTAGGACAGGTTGTCGTACCTGCCGGTAAGAAGGGAGCAATGCTTAGAAACTGATGGCCTGTGACACTAGCACTAACCGAGGACCTTCAATGCCCAGAATCCGACGCATCAAGTGTGATGAATCGCCAGGCCAATGCAACAACTGTGTCTCTGCTAGTTGGAAGTGCGATGGGTATGATGCGTACCGGTTGCCGCAGCGCCGCGGTCTACAGGACATAGGCACTCGACTTGGATGGATGATGACGTCGGATGAACACCGTTGTTACTCCTATTTTCAATATCACTCTGTTACGAATCTGGCCGGGTTTTTCGATTCCCCGCTCTGGCAGCAGTTGGCCCTACAGATGTCTCGCGCTGATCCGGCTGTCTTTCATGCGGTGAATATGTTCAGTGCCGCGCACCAGGAGTCGGAAGGGCATGATATGCAGATGTCTGCACGGTCACGCGTTGGGAGCCAGCAGTATTATTTCTCTCTTCAACAGTCTACACGAGCCATAGCGCTCCTGAACCAGCGCCGGAACTCCCAGGACCCCCAGCTGCGCCAAACGATCCTCCTGTGCTGTCTTCTCTTTGTTCTCTGTGATGTGCTCGTGGCGCAATATGACAGTGCGTTTACGCATTTACACGGCGGTCTCCGTATTCTAAAAGAACTCGAGATTCATGGGAAGCTGGAGTCGGAGGTTGCGCCATCAATCATTGCTGCATTCCGTCGCCTGGATATACAGGCCTCGCTCTATGATACTCGATTTCCGATCCTACGCCTGGAGGACGGGACAAGATCCCCGCTCAAGTTATTCGAAGCACCAACAGGCGGCTTTACTACCCTCGGCCAGGTACGAGAGAAGATTGCGGTTTTATTTACAGCCGGTATACCCTTGATTGCTAAGAGCTGGAGCCTGAACGGTCCCAACATGGAGGCCAACTATGAGTCCCTCTACCTAAGCCAACGGCGACTGCTAGCTAGTTTCGCTGATTTTGACCCATATTTCAAGTCTTTTTGCGTAATGAAATATCATCAGTTGAGTGAGAAGGAGCAACTGGGAGCAGATATCGTGCACTTGCTTTACCTTGGTCATACTCTCACACTCAAAACTGTGTTGATCCGTGGTCCAGTGCCGAAGTCTTTGGTTCCGGAATTCCTTGCGCTACTGCAGGCCCATGAAGACAAGATTGAGAAGCTCAGGTCTGTCTCTGGCCTGGTAATGGACCATGTCATGATCGCCCACATGTACCTTGTGGCCACACAGTGCCCAGATATGGAGATTCGAATACGCGCTATTCGTCTTCTGCGGTCATGGCCACATTACGAGGGCCTGCACAGCTCCAATGTCACTGCTCTGATGGCATTGGGGGCACTCAGAAGGGACTTTCCCAATGAAAGCCAGGCCTTGTCAGTGTTGCAGACGACAGAAGCGGAGAATGAATTTCTCGTCGACTCCTTGAAATCTATCAAGACTGGTGTGAGAGAACTTACCATTCCGCTTTTTAGAATGTCTGAGCTGCCATCACGCCCATGATATGTAGTGAGCGATAAGTGTGGACTGCCGATAGGCATTGGTAGCTTCCTCTCCAGTCAAAGCCGGTGTTATCAATCAACACACGTCTCGAACTGTGGCACAGTGATTTCAAGGACAATTGAAAGAGCCCCCGGGGCCCATCTGACGCGCTTCGATTCTGTCCTTAGGATATCTCCGGGAAGTCCGACGGAGCTCGAGGGTCTTCTCCATTAAGCCCGAGTTGCAGGTCTGATGCCATCCCTTCACATTTGGCCCCGAATGAACTCGGTGCACGATGATAATGTCCCTAGTGTCGGATGGCTACGCCTTCAGTATTCTCCCCCTCTTGAAAGCGCAGCCCTACGCACCCTGGCGGATAAATTTTCTCGACAAAATCATGTGATGCGCTGTCTGGCTCCGCTCGGAGCCAGTTGCAACGATCTAAGCCCGAGGATTATCTCCACTGTCTCCCGCGGCCGAGTCTGCAGTGGGTCGACTTGTCTGCGATTAGGTTTCTGGGCAATTCTTAAGCTCTATATCTAGCCATCCTACACCCAACACATACGCAACCTCTCTATTCTCTTGTCACCCCGCCGCAAACATATTCACAATGCCCGTTCCATTCTCCTTTGCTGCCCCCTGCTATGACCGCATGGTCCCGCTCGCGACCGGTGAGGTCCGCCCGGCGGGGCTCGATCTGAACTTTGTCGAAGTCCAGCATCCCCGCGACGTGTTTGACCGCATGGTCCGAAACGGCGAGTTCGACGCCTCCGAACTCTCGAGTAGCGAATTCATCACCCGCCATGTCGCCGGCGATCAGACCTTTACTGCTATCCCGGCCTTTCCGCTCCGTACTTTCCGTCATGGATACATCGTCGTCAACACTGACCGCATCAAGTCACCTGCAGACTTGTCGGGGAAGCGCATTGGCGTGCAATTGTATACCATGACCGCTGCCGTCTGGATCCGTGGACTTTTAATGCACGAGTACGGCGTGGATCTGTCGAGCATCACCTGGATTGAGGGGCGGATGGACGCGCCCGGGGCTCATGGCAAGCCATCTGTCCTGATTCGGAGGGAAGGGGACAAGCCGCTGGCCAACATTGAAAAGAACAACAGTGGCAAATCTTTGAATCAGCTGCTAGCGGATGGGGAGATCGATGCGACCATCGGAGCAGAGGTTCCATCTTGTCTCTGGGACAATGCAAAAGCCCCTCATATTCAGCGCCTGTTTCCTAATTATAAGGAGGCCGAGAAGGAGTACTACCGAAAGACGGGCATCTTTCCCATCATGCACCTGGTCGCTATCCGAAGGGAAGTGTACGATCAGCACAAGTGGATTGCTACGAGCTTGTTCCAGGCGCTGAATGAGTCGAAGGAGTTGGTTCGCAAGAGAACCTACATGCCTGGTATGATCCGCTGTATGTTGCCGTGGCTGCGGGAGGCACTGGAAGAGACTGTCGAGGTGTTCGGGGAGGATTGCTGGCCGTATGGGGTTGAGAAAAACCGCAAGACTTTGGAGGCGCTGGTGCAGTATCTGTATGAGCAGGGAATGATTGAAAGGGTGGTTCCGGTTGAGGAGCTGTTTGCGCCAATTCAGGAGGCGCCGTTTGTGATTCATTAGTAGTCTGATAGTTGCCAGCACACATCACTCTGAGTGGCCTTAACACAGTGCAATAGAGGAGAATCTCATTGGCAGTGTCAACTCTTTCAAATTTTCTAGGAATACCCCTTATTGGTCTCGATATCTTTGTCATCTCATGACTTCCATAATGTTTCTTTTCGCACATTGTATCGTTGACAACGACCACAGCATAAGGGACCCTGGCGTAGCAGATCCACTAAGAAGGATGTATATCTTCCTACAACATAACGCGAACTTCGTGCTTCACATCTCCGAGAAAGTACGAAATGCGCGCCCGGCGCTGATCGTCTTCGACTATCATGAAAATACCTCGCAAGGACGGCTCATTACGACCACCCCCTACCATTCCACTGGCATCCACATTGAAATTATTCATCGCCTCCACTCTCATAGTATGAATCGCCAACTGCGCACACAAATTCGAATCCCAGGTCCCCTCGCGATGGGGCCACGAGCGAAGCATCTCAATAGCACGCCACCGTACACTGTAATCACGACAGCCGGTAGCCACAAGAGTTAAGGGTGGGATAATGCCCATGTCGAAGCAGACGCTTGGCCGTTCTGGGAATGTGTGCATGATTGTCTTCACGAGAGATAGGATGTTCTCGAATTCGGGCGTGTATTGGTCAAGGACGGGTTCGTTTCCGTCTAATAGGCAGGTTTGGAGGGTGAGAGTTGCGGCGCGCTGGTGGAGGTAGATTATGTCGGCTCCTCGTTGTTCTTTTGGGCTAAGTTGGGGTGAGTATTTCGTTCGAAATGTATTGAATGCTTGGGCGAATGTATCGATTTGTAGACAAAGATTGAGTTGCTTCTTGTAGAGTGTTTCGTAATTTGATGCGATCTGGCTGTGGGTGGAGCCGGACGCCTTCGCTGTGAAAAGAAGCACGGTGCCCATCACGCGATCGAAAGCTTGACGCGCCTCCGCTAGAGTCTGAAAAGCAGTGAATTTCTCATTATCTAGCTGGATCTGGTCCTGCCCAACGGTAAACCAGATCGGTCCTCCTACGCCGAATTGACTGGACTGAACGTCCAAGTGCGCAAATGCCTCAACGAGACACCACTCCACCGGGGGCTTGGACATTGCCGCTGAGTCAAGCTGCCTGTGGGCGCCTAGACCTTTCAAGATGTGTATTCCACCATGCAGATGTCTAAAAGCGTCATCATACCGGCCGCGCAGCAATTCAGACAATGTGAAAAGCAAGCAGCACAGAAGAGTGACCTCTCTCAGACCGGGATCCTGCGATGTCCGTCGCGCATTAAGCAAGACGATGGAGCGACCCGCCTGTTCCAAAGCGAAGCGATGCCAAGTATTATCCAAGTCCTCCCTAGCAAGCGGCATGCCTTTCTTCTCGGCATCCTGGTGGACGGCGCTCAACGCGACAGCTGCATGGTAGACCGCGGGCTCGGCGTGACTCAACTGGAGGACCAGTTTCTGCCAGAGTGATGAGTCGAACCATCCTCGAAACGCGGGCATGGAACGATGTTGGAAATAAGCGAATGATCGTTGTTCGTCGGAATTTATCACCCAATGGATCCGGTGAGTGAGTGAGGCGGGCACTGTGATCTCCACCACTGCTTTTCTGGGTCTCCGCACCTCGCGGGGTAACCGGTGGAACTCATATCCGTCGCAGGTTCGACCCGTAGATGTACAATTGGTGCAGGCGCCTGGGGTTTCGTCGCATTTCTTATGACGGGCACTAGGAAGCGCGTTTTAGTTTAGCAAGGGATTCAAGGTACCGTGTGCGCTGCAGGTCTTACTCACCGACAGGTACGACACCCAGTTTTGGACCTTCGTCCCCCAGCTCTCTTGCGGGTGGATGCTGGGGATGTTGTGGTTTCGGATGGACTTGGGATGTCGAGGAGCATCGGTCGAGCTGCCAGTAGTATTGAAAATAATCAGCCTGGAGATAAATGAAAGTAAATTAACTGCGTGTGTGCTGCCTAAGACGCGATAAGCACGAGATCACGGGGCTTAGCGCGGATAGTCCACGTGGCTGACGCCTGAGATACGAGGCAGCAGCCATTCTTCCTATCAAGACAGTCCTTAGAAATCTACTAAGCAGCAGTATATCGGAGGTTCATTTCTGGTCTTTCTCAGACTAATGCGGCTTTTAATTATGTAGGTCTTTAGTTGGTGTCATTAGACTTGCCCTAGGCATCCAGTAAGGTTACTATGGACGCGAAGTAGAATTGGGTTGGAACTGTGGTAGAAAGTAATAATGCCAGTGATACGCCTAATACCCGAGGGCCAGCTATCAATCACCCCAGACTGGCAAATTCACCCACAGAACGACGAATCCCTGGAACCGTATCACTCCGGCCGTATATCCGAACCCCGCAAATCCGACGGACTTCATCCGCGATCAACTGCCGTGGGGCTCGGCGGTGGTGCCTCGGTGAGTCGGTGCCTGCATCAGGCTGATCGTCTCTTATCTGATCTTAAGGCTGTTGACTAAAGAATCCACCGTGATGCCTCGGACATTGTAGTAAAGGAGTGATTGCTTTCGCTCGAACTAGAGAATACTGTCGTACTCAAGATAACACTCGAGTTCGGAGCCTGCACGGGGCGCACTCCCATTGCGCCCTTACTTTCCGAATCTCTACACCATCCACCTCACAACACCCGGAATTCATACCGAAAGAACTGCCACCTGCAAGAGACTACATTGTGCATAGCAATGTGGACCACCGGAAATATGGGAGTGACGCCACTGCCACCCGGAACCAATCCGTGGTGAATGATCTTTCGGAGATACTCAAAAGGGCAGTCGGGAGATCAGATAAGGAATATGCCGAGCTCCCCTGGACGATAATCCCCCACTTTGCCTCCGGGGCTAATCCTTCTGCCGCCCTTATATACTCGTGCTTCTGCGTGCTCGGTCGCGATTTGATCATGTTTCTACCTTCAGACAGACTTATACGTTCGTGGATTTCTTATACATTTATCACTGCAAGCATAGCCTTGATTATTTCGTCTATCGCTCCTAGAATAATCCAACACCGCACTGAAAATTCAATCAGTATGGCCGCAACTTCTTTGAAGAACGTCATCGTTGTGGGCGGTTCCTATGTCGGAAAGGTAATTTCACGCGCAACACGGTTGATATTGCAGAAACATGACTGACAGCAAATACAGGGAGTCGCACAAGAGCTTGCGCGGGTCGTTCCCAGCACACATAGAGTATGTCCCACTCTGACATCTCTATGCGGGTTCAAAATACCAACCATATTAACCCACACCCGCAGGTCCTCCTAATCGAACCCCACAGTCACTTCCACCATCTTTTCGCATTCGTATGTGACAACATTCTACTTGCCATCAAATCACCATCAGAGACACAAAAGCTAATCCGCAACTCAGCCCCGATTCGCCGTTCTCCCCGGCCATGAACAAAAAGCCTTCATCCCCTACTCTCGCCTCTACTCCTCCACCCCCAATGCCACACAACATGCAGTCGTCCAGGCGCGCGTTCTCTCCGTACAGCCCCAACACGTCAATCTCGACCGTGACTGGCAAGGTCTGAAGCAAATTCCATTCGAGTACCTCGTTGTCGCAACAGGTACGCGTCTCGCCCAACCCGCAGCCATGAGCGACGACGACAAACCCTCCTCCGTCCTTTACCTCCAGAGACACCAAGCAGACGTCAAGAAAGCCAAGTCTGTAGTAATCGTGGGCGGTGGAGCCGTCGGTGTGCAGATGGCAACCGACATGAAGGAGCTGTATCCGGAGAAGGAAATCACCGTGGTGCAGTCACGCGATCAATTGATGCCTCAATTTCACCGCGGTCTTCACGAGATCGTTAAGAGGCGCTTCGAGGAGCTCGGTATCAAGTTAGTTCACACCTCATACTTATTACGTCCAGGAAATCATCTCAACTAACCTACTCCAGCCTGGTCACCGGCGCCCGCATCGTCGTCCCCGAATCCGGCTTCCCCAATAACGGCACCCCCTTCACCGTCCAACTGAACAACGGCACCGAACTCTCAACTGAGTTCGTCATTCTCGCCACGGGCCAGAAACCCAACAACGACCTTATCAAGTCCCTCCCTACTTCTTCTCCCGACTCTCTCATCAACCCTGACAACGGCTTCATCCGTATCCGTCCCACCATGCAGTTCCAGGACCCGAAATACCCGAACCTCTTTGCGCTAGGCGATATCGCTGATACTGGGTTGCGCAAGGCCGCAAGACCCGGTGGTCCCCAGGCCGCGGCCGTGGCGAAGAATATCCAGGCGATGATCGAGGGAAAGAAGCCCGAGGAGGCGTTCCCGCCATTCCCGATGGCTATTCATATTACGTTGGGATTGGTAAGTTCTTTACTTTGATAACTAGTGTCTGCGATATGGAGGGAGTGCTAATAGTCCGACTGCACAGAAATACAACATTGTGTTCCGGAATCCTAACCCCGCTGAGGGACAGAATGAGCCTGTTGTTAAGGAGTCTTGGGAGTAAGTTCCCCACATACAAAAATTGTTTAGATAGTAAAGGATAAAAGCTAACGGTCCGACAGCTCGCAAGAAGACATGGGTGTTGATCGTTGGTGGCAGCGTATGGGATTCGAGGAAAGCGGCGCCCCTCAATACCATTTGTAAAGCGGATGCATTGCAAACTGTTGCCGCGTACGATAGATACCATTTAATGTAGATTTGATAGACCGTTTACATAAGATATGATACCATTTTTACCGATCATGTGCATTATTAATTGAGCGAATGATGTTTTTGAAATGACACATTATGCAGCAGTAATTGGACGACCATAGTACATGCAACCAGTGATACAAGATAAACACATCTGACAACAAATTAATCCTTCAAAGTATTTTATAGTCGAACCCCCCAATTAGAGATACATTAGAAATTAAATGTTCCCAGTATAAGCCTGTACACCTATACTCAAAACATATCGGTTAAAGGAGTGACTTTGGTCGGAAAAGTATATTTGCCATCTAGGCGTGGAAAGGGCGAGGGTGGTGGGGGTCCTTGAAGCAAGAAGGAACGTTCTGCTCGTAGTCGCATGTGCTGATCTTAGGGTTGAAGGCAGTGCCAGCACCGCACTCCTTGTGGGCGGGCTCAGTGCCAGGGTTGCACTGGTAGAATTTGTGGCAGTCGGCGGGATCGGGCCAGACAGCGCTGCTCTCGCAAGCGTGGGCGGCGACGCTGTTGACCAGGAGGGAGCTGATGAAGACAGCAAGGGCTTGGTAGGTGAAGCGCATTTTGGCGGGTTGTCTGGAGATTGTTTAGTTGTGGAATGGATGAAGAGGGATGGTGTGTAACTCACGGGTTCCTGTAGATAGGTTAGTATGAGAAGAAAGAGTAGATTGGTGGTCGAAGGCTGTTTTGTTCTGGTTGATGATGAGGGGAAAACAGCAGGTCAATGCCCCGTATTTATACCTGGGATGGCTCCTTCGGGGTTTGTTTGTGTTTATAGTAGGGACATATACGGAATGACAAGTGCTGTGAGGAAGGGATGAGCCACTGTGGTATCTACAGTTTCAATTGAAATGTTCAAGATGGATCCCCACATAGGATCACCCTTCCACGGGCGGTTAGTTCAAGGGATGGACGGTCTCGGCCAACTAGGGAGCCCAGAGTTGTCACAAGATATTACCAATCGAAGCCAAGGGAGAAGCCTGCTATCGCCAAGCCCACTGTCATTCAACAACGTGAGTTTGTTGCAACACTCTTCTTGAGGCACAGTCAAACTTTCCATAGTAAATATTGCATGTTATGGCAAGGATCGATGGGATGCAAGCCGCTGGGTCCACTGGCGTCACCCCTTGCTCCAGACCCACAAGCATAGTCGGTTCCGGCACGAGTGAGGGTCAGGGATCTACATCCCCGGATTCTTTATCCTTGGAAGCCTGCTGCACTGGCTATTATGTTGATTTTGTTTGTATAGTGCATCGGCGCGCAAAATGTAGACGTGATTGGCGCTCTGAGGATGGAGTTGGCATACACATTGGCGTGTCCTCTGATAGCTATAAGCTGGAGATATGTGGTTATCTCAAAGTTTCCAAGGGTTGGAAGCTTTTTCCGCCGCATCAAAATCTAGTTTGAGCTCTGGTGTCCCTTAACGAGCCCGTAAATTAAAGGGGATAGTAAGAATGCAGTCGGGCAAGTTGATATACAGGTTTGAGAGACAGAATGCGCGGCTAAGATAGGCTCTCGGGATTATGACGAACTGTTATTCAGTCTGTCCACACTAAACAGCCCAGGTGAACTGTCCCGCATCAAATTCTAATATATATAACCGACATTCTCGGTACTGTGTAAAGGAATGAGCGAGGACCTTGAATTCTTCCTACTTTGTAGTCAAGCGAAGGATCCACAACGGGTAAGCACCCCCCTTTTCTCGAAGCCTATCACCGCCTACCCTTCACGTGTGCGATTACTGCCGGACATATCAGTCGAGGAGAGATGAGCGGTCAGTGAGACCGTGGTTGCTTTCGTCCGCCATCCACGTCAACTTTACAACAAATCAAGGCCATAAGTATGAGCCATTCGTCATCTTCTCCACACTATTGAATTTCTCGTATGCAACCGTCTGTGGGCAGCGTCAGGCAATAACGCGAGTTGAGCTCATCGACCGGTCGTCAGTATGAAGTCAATTGCGCGGCCAGGATACGATTGGATTAGGAAGAGGGAATGCTTCTGATGACTACAAACCCAACGATAAGTGCATTATGATTAATGCTATAGTTGCCCGCATATACTCCTGCTCTGTGATCCCGTGTAGTCGGCAATACTTTGATGCCACTCTGGAAGCCTGAACCCTGACAACACAATCTTATCTGGGATAAAGGCTCTGGACTGTCTCGTAATGAACCAGCCTTGCAGGATGGGCTGTATTATTCACTAGTGCTAGTCTCAAACCTGCACTTTTCTTAGTCTTTAGTGCCATCGCGTGTAGCAACGACCGAGAATATACCAAAGCAGCTGGCTATCACCACCCATACAAAATCAGCCCTCCACGGTACAGAAGCTTTAACTCGTAGTCTAGCTTTATATTCGACGAATCACGTAGAAAAGAACCGATTGGATAAGGCCCAGACCTGCACATATTACCCAACCGGGCGTCATCCCGGCCAGTATGAAGTCAGATTGACTTTAACTCCTCACCAAGAGACAAAGATGAAAGAATGACGAGTGAGGCTATTAAATCAGACAATTGGTATATAAATATTGGTCTCAAGCAGATCTGTTCAGGTTGTGATAAATATTTTTCAAGAACATACTAAAGCTCAGTGGCGCTGTAATATAGTATTTTATATTATATATTTACGCCCTACAACTACTACAAAATGTCCTCCACCGAAGACAGACTCAACGCTCTGCGTGGCTATAAGGCGTGAGTGCTCCTTCCAACTTTTACAAGCTAGACTCAAATAACCAAGTCGAAAACAGTACCCTAAATAATCCTAATACCTCCGACGAGGCGAAGCAAAATGCTCAGGCCATGATCGAGCAACTCGGCGGGGATCAGCCCCGGGAGGAACTCTACAACCTCCGCGGTGACGCTACCAAGGACCCTAACCGCGTAGCTGGTGGCTTAAAGGCGTGAGTTTGATACATTTCCTGATATTTAATTATGCATAGAGTACTGATCATCTCTTCAATAGAGCTCAAAGCAACCCTGGAGTCTCGCAACAGGGAAAGAAGGCAGCGGGCCAGAAACTGGGACAGCTTTCGGGTGAAGCTCCTGAAGAGTAAATGTATTTATTGATAACCATTTCTAAGTTATGGAATTGTACACTGTAGGCATTTGATTGGATACGGGCGCTGTGCCTTTACTACTTACTACAAAGTAGGGATGTAGAATGTCAAGTCATGTGAGGGCAGGTCGCGATGGACCTTTACTGGCACCTACAAGATGCCTTGGAATAAATTAACTCTTATTCATCTATTGACTAGCATTTATCATTCTAGCAACGTGTCATGTCTCATTATCTAGGTTTGGAAACCACTGAACGGGATCACGCACCCTCAGGCGCTCTTCTTCTTTTTCTTCTTCCCATCTAGCAGTGCCGGGAGATCATCAACAGTAGACTTTCCTTCGAGAATATCTGACGAACCGTTAGTAAGAGTTGGTGAGGAAGATAAAATCGAAGGTAATGCTTACCATGAACTGCGACAAACAACGGAAATTCCTTCAACTGGTCGTGCTTTGAGAGAAAGTCATAAACAGCGTAAGCCGTCGAAGTCCCCTGCAACTTCTGGCCGTTGAGCTCCTTCTGTTCGATTTCATTGACGCTGACCCCCTGCTCGACTGCATGACAGGCTGACCGGAAGTTCCGCCCACCGCTACACGAGGAAATCACGTCCGCTAGACCCGCGCTCTCCTCAGTAAAGGTCCTCTCATCCACTGACTTGGGAAACCACGTCCGACCAAACTTAATCATCTCCAGGATGCCGACACGCATAATTGCTGCCTTGGCATTTTCTCCCCAACCTTTTCCTGCAACAAACCCCGATGCTAAAGCTACAATGTTTTTCAGTGCACCTCCTAGAGCCACCCCGGCAACGTCGCGAATGTGATTAACATGGAAATATGGGCGGGAAAACAGAGTCTCCCACAGCTCGGCATCGACAGGAGGGAGATCCTTTGGCACCGGGTGTAGCTTGACATGCGTGGGTTTGGTCTTATGTTGCCGCTGCTCATCAATCTTGATCAAGTTATCCTTCGGCGACCCATTACGCTCATTCGCATCCATCGGAGGGGTGTCGTAACCGATGGTCGTCTCACAAAACTTCTCCGCGGCCACCTCTGGAGCAATGTTGGCGCCGGACAAGGCACCGCAGTAGATACCGAGTCGCTCCATGATAAGTTCGGAGTGGAGAGTCACGGTTCCGTCTGACACATCAACGCCCTTGATGCAAGAAATACCTCTCGCATAGGGGAGATGGTGCCCGACAACACCATCGAGGGTCTTGCCGATAAACTGATGGGGGAGGTTGAAGATGAGTAAGGTAGCATCTTTGACGGCCGACTTGATGTCTGGGTCGGCTACGACGTTGTCAGGAAGGGCAATATCTGGCAGGTACTTGACATTCTCGTGGACCTCATTGATGACCTCAGTCAATTTGCGCTTCTGGCCGCCTAGTTTCTTGTGGTGCTTGGAAGATTCTGGGACCTCGATGTCCTCCTCAAACACCCACATGCGCACCTCTGGCTCGAAAAGGTCGGGATGTTCCTTAGTATTTTCTGCGACAATCTTGGAGATGGTGGATCCCCTAGATTACCATGGTGTTAGCCAAATGTGCCGCAGCGGCAAAGCAGAGATGGTGCATACCAGTTACCGGAACCGACCACGGCCACCTTATGCTTTCGTGTGTGCTCAGGCATCTTCAGATGTGCCAACTTGATGCAATTGATTAAGAAAGAAAAGTCGTGCCAATATAGAAGGGCATTGAAAACCGTGGAGGTGCCATTTGATCAGTGGTTATAATAGCTGGCGCGAGGTGGTTCTGGCAGCCCTGGGTCTCTGATGTGAGAAAGACGTCATCGCCCTGTTCACAGCGAGTTCATTCCCTGCATTCCCCCCCCTACTCCCTTTTTACCCCAATCAAGATGACAGGCCTGGGATTTTGGGTCCATCAATAAAAAATTTATAAGGCCCTGCCCAACTCTCTGCCTCTGCTGTCACTAGCTTAGATGATCGCTGTACATATCCATGGTTTGCCACGGATACCTCCGACCGTACCGAAACCACCGCCATGAGGTCATCCCGGTTCCCGTTGTGCTTGGGTGATCAATGATCGTCGAATCACCTACGAAGACAACCTTAGATAAACGGCAATTGGCAGCTGAAGCCAAAGTCAGATCAGGAGTTTCACGCTATGCGGGTCGGTCACGCGAATTTGCGGTGCAGCTACGATGGCACCGTAACCGGATTTAACCCGGAAAGAACCGATCAATACTAGCGGCTGCCAAACCAACGATCGCAAGCAATAACTGCATGGGAGACCATAGTGGATCATGCGTCGAGACAGCTCTACTGCATTCTTAGTAAGGAATCAGTTATTCTTTTCTTTTACCCTCCTCATCTTTGCCCTCATTTTGTCTACTATCTGTCATATTCATCATCTAAGTACTACTCTGTAGTCAAATATATTCTCTTGAGATGTAGAGGTTCATGTATCATGTATTTGATCTATCTGAAGACCAAAATCTCGGTTGTCGGTTGGTGTCAGGTAATGACAGGCTAGAGTGAATGTCTCAATATATCCTGTAAGCTAATTTTATCACTGATTTGGCTAGACTGGGGGACCATTGTTCGACAACCATACAGTCACGAATTTCAAAGCTTCATTAAGTATGCATGCTAACTATCATTCTTACCACAAATTTAGATAGTCTAGCAGCGACGATGGTCAAGGTACGTAATGTAACAAGTACTTCTTTGCAACTTGGTCCTCACCTCTCTTGCCAGCAGGCTAGCGAGCTTTTGGAGGCCTTCAAGAAAGAGAATTTGGATTGCTACCGCCTACACACTGCGCTAGTCGACCAACTTCTACCCTTCCTCGCCGACACATTCGAACTCGGCATCAATCCAAACCTTTTACCCGATCGGGCCGAGAACGAGACCATTGAGCAAGAACGTTTACGTTGCTTTGTTCTGGAACGTTTACTCGATGAATTGGCTCGGGACATGGAAGATGATGTGCATGACGCCGATATTATAACTGCGGTGGACTATCCCTTCGTTATAAGGGTATTCTATTGGTATCTCAACAAGATTCCGCGTTCGCTGTCATATCATGATAAACATAGCAGCGCCACTTCACGGGTTCGGGCGGGTGTCAAGAGGCGTCATCAACATGATAAGTACTTGAAGACGCTGTTGGCGAGCCAACGTGAAGCGATACAGAGACGAATTTCTCATGGCAATCAGAAAAAGGCAACTAGCCAGCAAACAAGCACTGTCTCTGAGAGGGAATTGAGTATGCCTGATACACTTCGGGGCACTCCACGTTCGCACCATCTTGGGAAAACTAGACAGGTGAAGCAGTCGGACTTCAAGCAACATATTGAGACCCCACTTGTTCTTGAGAATCGTAGCCCTATAGATCCAACATATCTACTCCGCTATTTGGTTCAGGTTCTTGGTGAGAAATTCGGTGATCGGTATAAAATACTCCAAACACACGACTGGGTAGTCCTGAGGAAAATGCTTGAATCGGGATTAAATGATCATGTGGAACGAATAGGCGAGTCTGGGAGATTTGATGTAGGCAGGTATGTTATTCTCTCTCTCTCTCTCTCTCTCTCTCTCTTTCCCCTTTCTAGGCTTCGCGCTGTACTAAAGTAGGATCTCACTCTATATAGCCTATGCTCTATTGGAGGTATGCCAGAAAATTCAGATCACCCTGGTGTATATCTGCACATTCTCTGGAGTGCATCGAATCATCAGAGGTTGTGGCTTTATGTGGGCCAATCCAGCAAGCTTTCTGAGCGCATCGCAAACCATAATGATCCTTGGTATCGGCGTACCCATGCAAGTCTTCATTACCATGTCTGGGATTCTGTCAAGGATATCGAGTCTACATTCGTCACCCTGGTTGAGCTGAAGTCGGGTACAAACAATGCAGATATTTGTCTGCTTAATATCCAGGAAATGTGGATGGCTTGTATCTTTCAGACGCTTACCGCCAAGCACTTAAATGAATACCTTCCTCCGGATGTCTGTAGGATGTGGTCCACTCGCCACTTGAACGTTGTACCCCCAATCTGGCAAGGGTTTACCGGAAATGACTCCGCACCTGTCGAGGCATGCGGTGGAAGGGAGGCATTCCAAAATTTCCTTCTATCGCCAGATCCTGAGATCCGCAGGTGGGCAAAAGCTGTAAGGGATTCATTCAATGATCTTCGAAACTCTCCTGATCCCATCCTTCGGGTCTACTACTCCGACATCATGGCCCGAAATAGAAAGTTAGAGAAAAGGCTGTTGAGATGAGAAAAATGAAGGAGCTACAGAATGTTCTTACAATTGGATCACAGAAGACGGTTTCGGGGTACGATGATAATCGGAGCGCTCAGACTTTGGTTTGCAGTGATTTTTGTTTCATTATCTCCCGATCTCTCAAACTGGGGCTTCGGGTGGGCGACCAGGTGCAACTACGGTTTCATCTCACTGAAGCTCCGACCCAGTTCGCCTATGCCAATAAGGCTCTACCAACGAACCCTGCAAGCCGACTGGTCGTTTGTATCGAGGGAATCGGAAAGAATGGCTCTTTTCATGTCTGTTTATCAAGTCGGGCAGAGCGTATAGTGAGAAAGATGAATAGCCTTGTGGACGCTTTGGAAGGGTACACACTGAAGGAATCAAAATCATTCAGTCGCCGATGGTACGTACAGAGGAGGACTGGGACCTCTGTGAGAGACATTATTTATACCTGATAAAAACCTGCAGGCTACGGGTATCATGGTGTGTTGAAGTAGCTCCTCTACGTGGGATTATTTCGATCTGCTAGAGATATCCGCGGATCTTACTACTACACCAGATTACTAGCAGACATCCGATGAAGACCAGGTGATCTAGTACTAACAAGACCCACCAATAACAGTTACTTAGTGGCGTTCCATTTTGTTCCGCGTTGTAGGGTGGTACTAGTGGTTATATATATCTTATTCAACTGATCGAGGTGACACTACAGCCAGTACAAAGCACTCCTTTGACCGGATGGACAAAGCGATAGGCATATGCCCATACTAAGCATATTCATGGTACAACTACGGCAAATGAATTTCAGGCTGTCTTTGGAACACAGCATATCCCCTCCGTAGCTTTGTGGCTACAAGTAGGGAGTGCAACTAGTCACTATCGAGTTGCTGTAGCTATATGATGTGGATTATGTAGTCCAAACTTTGGCTGCTTCGTCATCACAACCCCCGATGGTCTAGTTGGTTCATGGCGTTCGGCTGTAATGGATAATAATTGTAACCGAAAAGTCACCAGTTCGATTCTGGTTCGGGGGATATGAAGTCTTTTTTCTTGCGTTGCCAGTCTGCATTACATGGCATTCATAGACACAAAATATGGAAACATGAAACTAACAAGCCCCCGATGGTCTAGTTGGTTCATGGCGTTCGGCTGTAATGGATAATAATTGTAACCGAAAAGTCACCAGTTCGATTCTGGTTCGGGGGAACTCGTTTTTTTTCATCTTTGGGATGACAGCTACTTTGCTTTCCCATTCGCCACATGATAACCAAAAAGCCAGCCCGCACAATCATCATAAGCCCCCGATGGTCTAGTTGGTTATGGCGTTCGGCTGTAATGGATAATAATTGTAACCGAAAAGTCACCAGTTCGATTCTGGTTCGGGGGACATCTAAGTTTTTGCTTGATGTGAATTCACATCTACTATAAGTAGGGTGCTGCAAAGGTGAACAGTGCTGTTGATTGGTCACAAATCACTGTCAAGCCCAAGGTTCAGCAAGTGTGCCGTAGATCGAACCGGATATCCCACTTGCGCTGGTGCTGCATGCGATTACCTGCATAACTGCTGATATCAAGGGGGGATTGCTCAATGCTATTTTCACCCCCCATTGCTCGTCAAGGACTGGCCTCTACTCGCGTTTGACAATTCGGGTGGCCATACCTATGGACTTTCCATTCTTGCTGTTTCGAGCTTCAGCTACTGCAACGAAGCATCTTGATCGCCTCGTGGTGTTATGAAAACACAGGAACTAGTTAGCCAGAGTCAACTAACCAGTCCTTTCTCTTATACCTATTTAATGAATTATAGCAAGTTTATTTACCCTTCTATATTAGCCAAGCAATGGCTTGCCGGCTTGCTGGCTCGCAGTCGACCTAGTGAAGCTGAGGAGTAACATACAGCCCTGCCTCATAGATGCAGAGTTGCTGACTGATGGCAACAAGAACCCCCGATGGTCTAGTTGGTTCATGGCGTTCGGCTGTAATGGATAATAATTGTAACCGAAAAGTCACCAGTTCGATTCTGGTTCGGGGGATTCTTCTTATAACCTTTTCTTTTTTCCTTTTTTTCGTTTTTTTTTTTATGTTACATACCACTTTGGTGACTTCTCTCACATAGCGTACAATAGATTCTGCGTGGACGAAACTCAAATGAATTCAGTGGATCCAGGCCACTGTATTGCCATGAATCTTTATCATTGCGCTCCAATTTTTTTTGTTGTTCTTTGTAAGATGAATGGAATGAAATGACCTTTGCGCCGGCGTCATTCCGAGCCGGGGTTGGCCCGTACGAATTTTGCTTCCCACCTAAACTATAATTCTAGAGCGCGTGACTCGTACATTCTCTGTGTCAGATGACCAAACATGTAGCCCATTTCGTTGTGTGTGCCTTAGGTAGTTGAGTGAATGACCTTGCGGCCATAGCTATACATAAATTCTATGGTACAGGATGATTTTACGCTGTCTACTTCCAGCCGCGAAATTCAATTGCTCTATGTTTCCGATAAGATTTTTGTATATTCACGTATTGCTTAAACATAATGGCCAGGTCTCAGCGGCCAGTCCAACGATCCCCCGATGGTCTAGTTGGTTATGGCGTTCGGCTGTAATGGATAATTATTGTAACCGAAAAATCACCAGTTCGATTCTGGTTCGGGGGATTCAAATGCGTTTATTTTTGTTTTGCTTCTTCTGGTCAACAGCCCAAAGAACAGGTCATATCAACCCGCGCCTAGTCTGCAAATACGAAGCTGTATCGAGGCATGTTTTTGATGTGGACATTCAGTCTCCACTATGAATAATCAAGGCAGTTTCTTTATTATCGCATAGTATCAGTCGATAATTTTAGAGAAGGGTTTGTTTTCATTCTTGAACCTTTCTTTATATAATCTAAATCCCAACTTAGTATTCTCTCAGCTTATCTTTCTTGAAACTTCCAAGTTCATGAATTATTCAGAGGGTGATAAACCTGGCTGGTTATCTGTTGCCTCAAGCCATTATCGCCCCATCTCGGTCAAATCTGACTTGATTTTGTTATCCACGCGAATTCTTGCTCATCGATTTCTCTTATCTAAGCTTAACCGGATTAAGCACCCCATTGGGGCGCGACCGACCTGAGGGGCGGATCGTCTGAAACCCTGATAGGCCACCATCTTCACTCCTCGGTCAGCCCTCTGCGGTATTCAAGCCTAATTCTACTAGCTTACTTCTTCCACCTTCCTCTGCAACGTGTGAAATTTCTTCTTGGGCCTCCGACCCATGGATGGCGCAGGGACCGGTCGCTGGCTAAAGAGGTCGAAATGGCGTCTGTCGAATCACGGCGCATCCACGGACAAGCTGTGGATGGGGATCTAAGGGCGTATCACGAATGAGAAGGATTCGATAACGCAATTTTGGCATCCACTTTGGCTTCATACCACTGCTATTCCTCTCCCACCATTTTCATGTTCTCAACCATAATGGTCAGCCCTAGCTCGTGCCACCTGCACAATTCGCACTTTCTAGCCATTCGGCGTTAAGCCGATCGACTTGGCAGCTGGGGTGTGTGAAAATGCTGCGGTGCTGCTGCTCGATTGCGCCATCGCCCCCTTACCTGATGCGGAGAAGGGCGAGGAGTCACTCGATCATGGAAACTTTTCTATAACTGCGGGCTGCCTCACCCTCTTTGCGTCGGAACGAACTGCTTGGGCATGCGTCTTTTCACCTCATCCGCCTCTGCGCGCTAGATCTCAGCCTCCGGCTCTTCATCATGGGCCTATCCACGATCTTTCGACGGAAGCGAGGTGATGCAGCGCCTTCTGATGCCGGCAATGTGTCACCTGTCGCCACCACCACGGGCTACCGGGAGGACCAGACATCCGACTCTGTATCCAAAGCGGCGTCCGTGAAGGAACAGCCCGTGGATGATTTGGAGAAGAGTCAGAAGACCGTCGAGCCCAATGTGGTCGAAACCGCAGCCGAAGAAGACCCCGAGATCGCCGCGCTGCCCCTCGAGGTGCGCCAGTTGGTCAGTCTTACTGATGACCCAACCCTGTACACCATTACCTTTCGATACTTCGTTCTCTGTGTGATATTCGTCGTACCCGGTGCCTTCTTGTCCATGATGAGCCACTTCCGTACCACCGAAGCCCCATACTCCGTTTTCTTCGTGCAGATCGCGTGCCACTATGCGGGTCACTTTCTGGCGCGGGTCCTCCCAGCCTGGGTGATCCGCGTGCCCTTTACCCGTTGGTCCTTCAGCCTCAACCCGGGCCCGTGGAGCATCAAGGAACACGTTCTGGTTACCTTGACGGCGGCATCCGGAGCTACCTACAACTTGGGATATACCCCCATCGCAATGGCAGAGCTCTACTACGGCGAGAGAGTCAATCCTGCCGTGGCTATTTTCTTCATGTTTGCGATTGTCTGGATTGGGTATGCTTTCGCAGCACTGGCCCGCCAGCTTCTACTATATGACCCCAACTTCATCTGGCCCCAGGCCCTCATGCAGACTACGTTGTTTGAAACGTTCCGCAAACAGGATGTTTCATCCCCCCTCGCGCGGCGACAGATGAAAGTTTTCTTCCTCTGCTTTCTTGGAATGACGCTGTGGCAGTTCTTGCCCGAATACGTCTTTCCGTTTACATCTTCCCTCGCCTTCTTGTGCTGGGTCGCACCGCATAACGCTGTGGCCAACTTCCTGGGATCTGGATTGGGAGGTATGGGACTGCTGAATCTGTCCCTCGACTGGTCAAACATCAACTGGAACGCTTCTTCGATCCTTCTTACCCCATGGTGGACGCAGGTTGTTTTGTTCCTGGCTTTCGTCTTCAATTGTTGGGTCTTACTCCCAGCCGCGAAATGGGGAAACCTTGGGTCTTACAAGCACGGCCTTATGTCTAATTCTCTGCTGACAGTGAACGGAACGACCTACCCTACCCTCGAGGTAGTTACCTCCGACTATCAGCTGAACGAGACCGCCTACGCGGAGTACGGTGACATGTACATGGGTCTTCAGAACCTCTGGGCGACCTTCTTCGACTATGCGAAAGTGACTGCAGCAATCACGTGGATCTTAACCTTCGGTTTCGTCCAGATCCGAAACAATCTGATGAAAGTTATTCGGTCGCGGCAGAAAGCGTCGCAGGAGAAGGGACAAAGCATTAACCACCAGTACCACGATCGTCTCAATGTTCTCCAGCGAACCTACAAGGAGATCCCCCTCTGGTGGTACGTCGCACTTTTCATGGCTGGTTTTATCGCTCTGATCGTGACGATTGCCTGTGGCTATCTGTGGATTCCGATCTGGACATTGTTCGTGGCACTGGCGAGTGCCGCCGTTTTGGTGGTTCCGTTTGGATTTCTGTATGCCATTTCGAACTATCAACTGGCAGTCGGGTCCTTTAATGAGTTGGTGTATGGTTACATGGTCGAAACCCCTGCTGGCAAAAACCATCGGCACCCCTGCGGACCGTCTACGTACGGATCGATTGCCGGCGACGCCTGGTACCGCGCGCAGTATATGCTGCAAGACCAGAAGATCGGTCACTACATGCATATCCCGCCACGCACGGTCTTTTTCTCTCAGATCTTTGGCACTGTTCTCGGTATTCCAGTGAACTACGCCGTGATACGATGGGTCCTCAACACGAAAGGAGACTATCTGTCGGGCAAGAAGACAGATCCGCTGGACCAATGGTCTGGTCAGTCCTTGAAATCCTCGAATACTCTGGGTGTCCAGTATGCAGTTCTCGGACCTAGCCGACTGTTCAAAGAGCAGGAGATGAAGCCTCTACCCTGGGCGTTCCTAGTGGGCGCAGTGTTGCCCCCGATCCTGTACATTATGCATCGCACTCTACCGCGCTGGCTACGCATTGATCTATGGAACGTCAGCATTTTCTTCTCCGGTTTGTCGGTCTTCTACGGCAACATCAGCACGGGTTACACATCGGCGATCATCGGCGGGTATGTTGTCATGTACTGGGCCTACCGGTATCGGTTTGAGGTCTGGAAACGCTACAGTTACATGGTGGCCGCTGCTTTCGATGCGGGTTTCAACCTGAATATGCTGTTGATCTTCCTGTTCTTTGGCTCGGGAAAGCAAATTTCCATGCCTAACTGGTGGGGTAACAACTCTGTCTCGGTGGAACGGTGCTTTGCCTTGGATTGATTCTATGATCTACTTTAACAAAAGGCCCTTCTCTGCGGCTTCTAGCGTTCAGGCCACCTTCAACCGACGAGGGTGGCTTTTCTGTATTTAATGTGTACATGAACGGGGTTGAGGAATCGTTCTAGACCGATTTCCGAACCTTATGATAGACGAAATGCAGTAATGATATCCCCACTTTGTTTTTGGTCCGTGGTAATAGCTTTCTACTTGTTCGACGTACTTGCCCTTGGGCACAGAATTCGGGTGGCGTATATTAACTACCCGAGGGTCGAAAGTTACTTGAGGATGCACAGACCCCGGGAATGTGAAGACTTTCCATCGCATCGAGCAGATGGATGAGCATCTGCGGTGGTTCCACGGCACAATCGGTCGATGCTCGTTGCCGCCGATACTGGGTGATGATGCCGTGGCTGAAACTCTACTGACACTCAGCCACCAAGACGGGAGGAAACGAGGGATAGTCGACTCTTCTCCAGTTACTTAAAACGCGACCGGGCTTCAGTTCTCGCCATCTGTCAATTTGCGTTACGATCGACATGATAGAACAACAATAATGCCCCTTCTTCGGGGAAGTTTGCCGCTGCTTGTCGGCTCCTCAATATGGACGTGCTGGGAAGAGCTGCTGGTGATGACGCTCTCCGGGGGACTCTGTCGCACCCATGGTTACGCACCACCAATCAGATCCTCGCCGGTATTTGGATTTTTCTCTGCATGATCTTCCTCCTCATGCGATTATACACTAAGATCCACATCATGCGGATGTTCTGGTGGGATGATGGTACGTTTTCTATGCTTATATGGGGTGGAGATTTGAGTGGTTGGTGGCTAATACAGCCTGCAGTCTGCTTAATTCTCGCTTGGGTATTGTGTAGCAGCGATGACCTTGTCTTAGTCCTTGCACTCACATGTCTCCGCTATCACAGATGTTCTCAATTGTCACGCAATCTGTTGTTCTCTGTATGTTTATGCAGATTCGTCTGGTTTTAGTTGCTGAACTCCAGCGCATACAGCTAACCGCCCTCTCCATGTAGACGGTTACACTTATGGAGGCTATGGAGTCCACATGAAGTACCTGTCTCCCGCGGTTCTCGAAATCTACGTGAAAGTCCGTTCTTCGATGTTGCTTCTTCCTCGTCTTCTATCCTGTTGTGGTCTCGTCGCTGAGCCAGTAACACAGACTCTCCTTTCTGCCGCCATCATCTACATCCCCGCCCTAGCTGCGGCCAAATTCGCTCTGCTGATGCTCTACTATCGCCTGTTGCACATGATTCGCATCTGGAGAATAATCATTTTTCTCGTTACCTTCATCATCGCCGGCTACACGATCGCCCTCACCTTGGGTCTCATCTTCCCTTGCCAACCCATCGCCAAAAACTGGGACTTGACCATTACTACCGGCCACTGCGTCGACCGCAGCGGATTTTATCTCGCTACGGCCATTACTAACACCGTTAGCGATATCATATTGATTATTATCCCTATCCCAGTCATAGTCAAGCTGAAACTTCCATTGATCCAGAAGCTTGGGGTCGGCTGTATGTTTGGGATTGGTTGCTTGTAGGTGATCCTTCTTCTTTCAATCCCATAATATCCCCTCCATGGTTGACTAAACTATAACTCACTATCCAACAGAACTATAATCACCAGCATAATCCGGCTGGTGACTATATTGCCGCTGGTAACGTCCGAAGACCAGTCATACGAAATTGCTCTAGCCATCATCTCATTGTGCGTACAGACTACTATACCAATACTGGACGGATTTCATTGACACGATCTACAGCATCATCGAAGCCAACTTCATCATTATCTGCCCCTGCCTTCCCTATCTGAAACAGTTCCTGCGCTTCCATGCGCCTTGCTGGATTGGTGACTCCGGCAGCAACAGCAGTCAGTCGCGACCGTCGGCCTCTTCCAATTCTAATTCTACTCCGTCGAGTAATAGGCGCAAACCGGGGTTGATCGTGTTGCAGGATGATATTGAACAGGCGCTTAGTCCACCGATGGAAGCGCATTGTGCCTGTATGGTGGGTGCACGACAGGGGAGTTCTACTAGTGATGAGTCAAGAGAGTTGATGGGGGAGCGGAAGTAGTGCGTCTGTTGATACCTTCTATGTTTGCATGTTATACTTGCACCTAGTATATATGCTTTGTGTGATATTTAGCAATTAGATGGACTGTACATATATCAGAAGCCATATTGTGTTTAGATATGAAGACAAGTCACTTGTAGCGATTCTCCTCTCTCTTTATTCCTAAGACCTGACAGTAATGCATCAAGTACAAACCGGAGTTGCCGTCGGCTTCACCACCGCATTAGTAGGATTCGTCTGCGAGCACCCATCAATCCATCCCAGCAAGTAATCATCTTCTGCGGCCTTGTATGCTGCTCCGCAGTTGGGGTCACTAGTACACAATATTAGCATATCTCAATCACATAATACTATAATGTTTCTTGTAGATAGAACCACTCACCTAGCACCCCCGCTCGCATCCTCGAAGTAAGAGCAGATATCATGCGAAAAGCAGTCCTGGGTGTAGACATTACCCAGTGCGATACCACTACATCCTGTTCCGCAGCGTCCGTTGCAGGAGTAACTGTTGTTTAGACAGTATTTGGGTTAGCTTTCCATTTCTTTCACTAGTGTTGATGTAGTGACAGAAAAGTAGGTACGAGATGAGTGAATAGGAAGTGAAGGGAAGAAATAGGAATAAACATACTCTCCATCACCATCACTATTCTCGCCATAGTTACTGCCTACCACGCCCACATACGTGCAGGTTTGATCGGCACTGTTGGTCCAGCTGGCTGTTGCGGTGGCGCCGACTTTGAGGCATGTCACGCTGCGTTTTTGGTGGGTGACTGAGGGGTGGGCGGTTGCGGTTAGAGTTAGAGATAGAGTTAGGAGGAGGGTGGAGAGGGAAAACATTTTGAATGGCTGTTCTCTGTGATTGAGATAGGTTGAAAGGTGATGGTTCGAGAGGGGTAACTTCTAAGTACACAGGTTACTGTAAGCTGGAAGATCAGCGAGGGGACAATACTGTGTTAAATATGAAGCTGCCTACGGGGTACCTCATTTCCTGTGAAGAAGACAGTAGTATTACTTTACTTGGAACTTACTTGGTCAGGAATCATCAGTCACTATCAGCTAGTGACTATTCTTCCCCTTCCTATAGGCGGGTGTGATATTGTCCGCTACGGAGAATGCTCTGAGTAGAGGTGATCCTCCGCAGGCATACATGAATCAGGTACGTAGCTCTGTTGTGGGCTAGTAGAACTTCCTTCCCCTCTTTCTGCTCGGCGGAATTGTCGGGCATTGAATGTGAGGGGATAGGGGGTATGGGCATCCTGCAGATCCACTTAAGGGATTGCATCAGGGCTTCTTAGAATGACGTTTCGGGTAGAATGAGGGAGGTGGAGGAATAAGGGTGTGATGATGCAGCAGTACAATATCTACACTATAGTCAATACAAAGAAGTAGAAAGTACTGTATACAAGAGAGAGATACTGTCAGTTTGAAAAGATCACTGAAGTTCCATTGATATCGTCTGGAATCATCCTCAAGCCTGACATGACACCTTAACGGTCAGGTACCCACACTCAATTGAAGCTAGCTGAATAGGGACTAGTGCAGGGGCCGGCATCCATCTTTCTTCACAAGATTAAACTCAGGCTTCTGCTTCTTACCCCTGAAAGGTGCAAACAAGTTATGGTATCCTGAAATCTACACAATTCGCCGTTCTGGCTATATTGCTTGTAACACCTCTTCAATCTTTGCACAAGTTGACTTCAGCGCCTACGCGAAGTCATAGATTGTGGCCCTGCGCATATCACGCACATACCGTCCTTGATATGAGCCACCACATGATCGGTGCATCACGCAAGTATTGTCCTAATAACGTTAGCATTGCTTGCGGCTTCTACAGACATATCTAAATGGTATACATACCCACATAATCATGTCTCCATCCGTTCTGCCAGTCCACAGTGAGCACATATTTGTCCTGACTGGCATGCCGCATCAAAGCCTCAATTACGGGCTTGCTGTCTGCCTTGCTCCTCCCGTCTATCCGGTATGCATTTGATCCCATATACAGATTCATTCGATTGCTGGGCTTGTGCAGTTGTGCAAGTTGATGACATCCACGCGCTCTTGCAGCCGCGGGCAACCAACACAGCACCAAGATCCGCCCCAAAACGAAACAGAACATCAGGAGTAGGCTGATGTCCACAAGATCGACCCAAATCCCCAATATACGGGCTATGAGACCCTGTAAATGATGATAGTTTGGTTAGCACAATACGATGTCTTACTAGGGAAGTCGCTTTCTTGAAGCATGTCGTGAACATACCACCCCCATCAGATATGGGATACGACGCAGGTCATCCAGGTCGGAGACGGCAACCACCAATCTGATGAGCCAATTATCCGGGGCTCCTAGATATCGACTCTGCATGATTGAATGCCATAGCACATGATTCTAAATTTCGGCTTTCGTCTCCTCAGCGAGATCCGCATAAGCAGTCCTGGTGTCGGCAAATGCCGTCGCGCCGCCGGTTCCCTTTGGGGGCAGTTTGTGCTCTCGGAGGAGGCTATATCCCGCTCGGCGTTGGGTGAAGGAGCCGTCTACGAGGAAGAGGCGTGTGCCCCGGAATAGCTGCGCCCGCCAATACGATGGCGATAAGACCCGGCCCTTGCTGTCCACATTCCCAACATCCATAAGCTTGCCTCTGGAACCAAGTCGATCTGGCACCCCCGGTTTCCCGACCGTGTTATCCACTATCGATTCGCCTAATTGACGCGCAAAGGCAAAGTGGCGCGCATCGTCAAGTTTGGTGGCGCGGAAGACCAAGACGCCGTATGTGGCCATCGCGGCACGAAGCTCTTCGATGACGGCATCCGGGACTGGTTGCGAGAAGTCCACGCCCTCACACTCAGCACCGAACGTGGAATCAAGGCGGCGAAAGGTCAAGGGTGAGTGCCAATGGTCATAGTGGCCGTGGTGGCCGTAGTAATCATGGTTGCCATGGCTAGCCAAAGGGAGCGTTGTGGATGTCACTCGACAAGTGGCAGCGTGTGAAAGCAGGATCCAACAGTGTGTTTGTGTAGGGTAGGTCAGAGCTTGGTTATTGCAAGTATGAGACCCAAGTAGTTAAGCATGATAGAAATTTATATATGTGGTGATGACGCTTGATAGCCAAGTTCTTCCTTCCCAGAACACGATATGCCAAATGGGGCAAAGCTGAGAGTGGGTAGTAGCCGGAAGATTTAAATGCAATACTTCTTCAATGTAAACAATAGAATGTGAATATATTAAGCGGCCTGTGGACTTTACATAGATTGACCGCTTCTTCTTGACTTTTATTTTCAGCACAATGACAATGTTCCATGCTTGCTCCTGCGACTCTTCCCGTCATCTCTTGCGCGATACATCGGATCCGTCAGACCGCGGATCACGGTCAAACAGAAGGACATGAACCTTCTCCGTCCAAAGGACCTGGATAGGCGGAGCTGAACAGAAGTAGCTTTCGGGTATATTCACTGGAGGGTTTTCTTCGAGTACCACCAAAACTGCGTTCTCTGTCGACATGTCACCAAAACATTTAGTGGTATCGCGCACGAATACTACCCTTACTTAGAGTAGTAGTTCTGGTATTCAGCCACTACTTACTATCTCACAGTCGCTTTGTATGTTGGGAATATATTGACCTCTATTAAACTTAAGCCAGAATGACTGTCAGAGCCAAAATGACCATCACAAGACTACAAACTATCATTTTGTCTGGATGATGAATTTTTTAGTTGTTTCAAGTCTATACCTCGGCCTCTCCAACGTCATCATCATGTGACCATTCCACTTACCTAATCTTTATCTTTCCCCCCCGCCAAAAGAGGTCGCTCTCTTTCTTACTTTCACTTATCCCATCGATAAACTCCACTGCAGGTTATAATTGACAGTTAATTCCTGCAAGATATTGCATAGCGGTTGCATGGGACATTCCTTCCCTTTTGAACTATTATCAATTGACTTGTCATCATTAATTCAGCGTTACTAGTGAGTCCCCATCTGTGCTTCTTCCCCGCATGGGTGATTCCAACCATACCCGTCACTAGGATATCTGACTCGTCTTCTAGCAACTTCCAGGAACGGACACCATGGCACCTCCCCAGATCTGCGTGATTGGCTCCCTGAATATAGACTTTGTCACCTACACTCCACGTTGTCCCGATGCCGGCGAGACCCTCACAGCCAACTCCCTCGCTATCAGCGCCGGAGGGAAAGGTGCCAACCAGGCGGTCGCGTGCGGTCGCGCCTCTTTCGCTTCCAAAGACAACCAAGATGCGTCGGTGTATATGATTGGCGCGGTCGGAGCAGGTGACCCCTACTACTCGGCCCTCCTTCGCCCAACATTGGAGGGTTCCGGAGTCAGCACAACGGGGATCCAGGAAAAGACGGACAGCCAAACGGGTTCTGCTACAATCATCGTGGATGAAGGAGCTGGAGGAGAGAATCGGATTTTGTTCGTCCCCGGTGCTAACTACTCGGGAATGGATAATGCAGATGCAGTCCTCGCTACCACGCGGAATATCCATCTAGAACAAGGCGTTGTCGTGATGCAGGGCGAGATCCCGAGGTCGACCACCTTGGAGTTGATGAAGCACTTTAATAGCGCTTCCTGCGCTTCTCACCTCGTCTTCAACCCTGCACCAGTCTTCACAGAAGGGATTCCCCTGGCCGCTCTTGCCGGCACGAGTGTGCTGGCCATGAATGAGACTGAAGCTGTCCTCATGACCCAGGCGGTCAAGGAGCATCTCACCCCTGCCCAACAGGAGCAGGACTTGAAGCCCGAGGAACTTGCACCTCTATTCCACAAACATGCCCAGGTCCAGATTGTTCTAATTACTCTCGGAGCCAAGGGTGCCTATTACTCAACGGCCACTGGCAAGCAGGGCTTTGCTCCTAGCGCCGCGGTGGAGAAGGTTGTAGACACCACTGCCGCCGGAGACACGTTTGTCGGTTACTTCGCTACTGCTTTTGCCAAGTTTGTTGCCACCGGTGCTCCACTGGCGGACTTCGATGCCCAGATCGAAGCGGCCGTTCAGAAGGCGAACGTGGCCGCCGCAGGGTGTGTGCAGAGGAAGGGTGCGATGCAGAGCATCCCGTTCGCTTATGAGATCTAGTGCATAGCGCAGTGAACCACCTAATGGTTACTCCCGTCGGCCAGGAGAGTATTCGCTCAAAGTTCCTACTAAGCCGGACTTTCGGACCATTGATCCGATTTCAGATTCGACATGAATTCACGACCGTAGCTTTTCATACCATCGATATGCTACCAAGACTGACACGGTAGCCTTACTCGCAATTATGCAGCGTCTCTCAACTTAAATCATACCACCACCATACATCCTCCCAGAAGGGACCATAGACACAATACCGAAATCAAACTTATAGACTCGGCTTGCCTGAAACCTGGATCGAGATAAATGTGATACATGTATTGATAAAATAGCATACTCAAAATATGGCTACCGTTATTAAGACCGTAAATGATTCGGTCCGACCCTGTGCATCTAATTCTCCACCGTCTTTTCCACTTCAGTGGTCTGAATAAAGGTCTCCCCTGTACTGTTTGCATAGTTGGCTTCATCGGTCATGAATTCATCGTTGTTCAGGTACCTGAATCGGTACCAGAAGAATATGGTCTGCAGAGCGAGGGCAACAGCAGGGGCACCCCATATCCAGATCAAGTCGGGATCCTCAGTGACTGGCAGAAGGATTTCTCCCAGCGCACTGGACAAAGCAGTCATGAAGAGGAAGATTGCCATGACTAGACCCCTCATACTCGCAGGCGACCGGGCATATGCCAGTTCATACGCCGTCACGTTGCAGAAGATTTCGGAGAGGGCTCCCAAGATAGTGTTCGGCAGCTGCCACCAGATGCTGATGGGGCTAACTTCGGAACAGGAAGAGGCATAGTAGCCGCAGGGCGAGGTTTTGTATACACGCCACTGGACAAGGGCACCGCACAGACCGGAGAGTGCGGCCAGGATGAAGCCGAATGTGATCCGAGTGATTCGCTTAAACGGAATATTGTACCGATAAAGCAGTGGATAGATAAAGTAATCAACGATCGGCACGGCGACAATGATGGTCAAGGCATTGAAGTTGCTGAGAAGGTCGTTGGGGGCACCGTTCGTCGTCATAGACGCACCCTGGTTCGTCGAGACAGATCCGATACCGCCGTCATTGAGGTTGTAGATGGGGAAATAGAAGAAGATCTCCGTTGCCACGAGAGTTCGGCGCACATCATCTACCAGCTTGTCGGTCCAGTCAACCTGGATCCCCTTGGCTGCCAGTACACTCGGTTTCGCCGCATCGAAGAAGTTCTTGCGCCAGACCTGCCACTTGTTTTGGCGCAAAGCAGTTACGGTGATTTTGATTGCCTTGGCGAGATCCGAGTTCCCACTGGGCGGCGTCCGGTATGTCTTCTTATAGGCGGCCGCCAGCACTACCGGCAAGATAAAATAGATGATCCCGGCCAGCAAGAAGGCCAGCCAGTAACCCACATATTTCTCCGCATATGTGGTGGCCAGCATGTAAAATGCTCCGACGTTGATCACTCCGTAGAAGATAAGCATCGTTCGAGTAGCCGTCATCTCGGGATCCACAATGACCTTCTCCCCAGTCTTCAAAACCTTTGTGTATTGCTTTTGATGGCGGTATTGGTCCAGGACTGTGGGTGCGATATTGGGCTTAAAGATACCGGCTCCAAGGGCCAACATCAGAAGCCCGATGATGAACGGGGGCGCTGCATGCGCCGTGCCAGCTTGCAATACTGACGGAATTGCGCCGATGATCTGAATGATGTGGGCAATACCACAGATGGCAACACCGACACAAATGGCCCAGTACCGACCGACGTGTACGTCGGCCCACCTGTTATTGTGAGCGAGTTACGCAACGTGTATACAGTTTGGGGACTGGCTTACCATCCACCGAAGATCGGAATGACATAGGCAAGGAACTGAAATAGCAAGACCAATCCGTCACTAGCCTGGAGTCCCATTCCCAAAGCACCAGCCGTCTCTTGCGTCCCTCGCGGAGGTGCACCCGCACCGTTTCCTCCTACAAAAAGCCGGTCAGCGATATGAGAATCAGGAGTTACCGAGTCTGAAGAGCACCTTTAGGAAGAGGGAACTCGATGAAGTTGGAGAAGACCGTCTGTGCGCCGTAGTAAGATGCTCGTTCGGCAAATTCTACCAGACAAAGGGAGTATGCGATGACAGGGAGATAGGCCGGGACCTTGCGAAGGCTGTTGACCTCTTCCTCCGTGGGCGGCGGGTACTCCTCGTTCTCCAGCGCTTGAGCATCTACCTCGTAGACGTTCTTCTCAGGATCGGACTTGTTCTGTACTTGGACGGAATTGTTGGTGGCTTCACTGGTGATTATGGCATCGGCGACGTGGGTTTCGCCGGTTGAGGTAGCTAGAATCGTCCACTGCTGTCAGTTCCGGGTACAGCGCCATACACCTGGCTACACTTACTCATATTTCGTTGATTGGGCGTTGAGACGCCGGGGAATTTTACTGAAAATTGTTGAGCTCTGACGACCCCCTAGCCGATTAAACTGACTGAACAGCTTCCGATTTTTATAGCATGGCTGCTAGCAAGGTCAGTCGGATCTCCGGCGGTGGTCAAACAATGGGCTAAATACCCCCCAACGATCCCATTGCAGGGGCGAATGCCTGGACAGGCATATCGCGCAATGTAGCACAAGTCTTTGCTATCAGTTGGGTCATTTAAGACATGTTTCCCACTAGTCGGGATCCGTGCTTTGGGGGAGGTCTATCAGCCCTAGCCTGTCCCACTCACCATCGCTGATTCGAATCAACGTCCGATGATAACGATTTGGCCGTCCTTTGCGCCATCGGAGCCCACCAACCAGATCAAGGTATCGATATTAATATCACTGCCTGCGGATGGGGTCAAGATAATCTGTAGTGATGCCATTTGCTCGGACACTTCCCCTGCTCGACGCATATCTTGATCATTCCCCCTTTTGTTCCTGTCGGGTGACCTTATCATATTCGACCTTTGGCTGGAGAGTTACCCCACAACTATCGATATACGGGATGCCAATGACTTGCATCTCCTGATCGGAGTGTTGAGAGAATTTTACTGTTTACTTTATACGTGATGGGGTGCTCTTGTTGGAAGATTTTGATGCTGAATTTCACACTCAGTCCTTAGTCAACCGACGAGATTGACCACCATAGTCCGAGAAGCAGCTTGAAGTCCAAGGAAGTTTAGAGGCAGACACACCCGCTATAACAGCAGACGGAGATCAATTTCCCGGCCAAAGTTAGTCTCACAATATCAGCTTCGTCAGAACATCCTGGCTGACCAGGTGATGGGTTTGGGTTTACCTCCCGTTCGCGCAAGCATCAGCTAAGACCGCCGCCACAGGCTACCTGAAAGCTTAGCGCCATCTGAAAGCTGCTTGGATTGGTCTTATCTGGCAGCCTATTGGCAGGCCGGTCAGTCTGTCTTTGTTCAACTTGGCAGGGGTTCGTGGTGCGTGGGGACGGTCAACAGGAGTCAGCCACCACGGCAAAGCATTCCTCCCGCTCCATCTCATTTGCTCGTGTCCTACCTCCTTCGCATCTTGTGGAGGTCTTATCGCTGATGGCAGGATCTATATATGGCAGGTTACATTTGGAACAATATCAAGCATGGCATGGCGTCTTGGCATTCTATGGTCTTGTCAGACACACGACCCAAGGCCCGCCCACAGGTTCGTGGCGAGATTGTGGGCCTGCTAGAAGAGAATTCACGGGAGTTCGCCTTTCTCAAGTGGCCTACATGCACTTTCAAGGGATGGGAGTGAATTGCGACCGGGCAAAAGTCGGTCACAAAATCTTGTTGATAGCTGATGAGGATGCGTCCAGACAGTGCAGGGACTTCTTTGTCATATCGTGTCATGAAAGGCGAGCTGCTAGAATTCAGGTACCCAACACCAAGATTCCCAAAGGCTATTCTAAGGCCACACTCGCATGAACAGATCCAAAATGACTTTGCATTACGTCGTTTCTCAAAAGGGGCATTCGACCCCCGGACGGCCGTCGGTTACAGTGACACGAGGCCAAGTGTCCCCTAACTGGAGCCTGGTTTGAATTTTCGGCTACTACTTCAGCTATCCAGACCCGGGCAGTTCTCGCTCGTGATGTCCGTGATGTTGGTATAAGGGTAAGGGTCAGTCCAGATGAGATCGAACCTGGAATGCATGACTGGTTAGTTGCGTCGACTACAAACCGCCTTTGCAAGGTTCTTCGGTAGAAACTAACCGGTCATCTGGGTAGGTAGGTGCATCATCGTCACCCAGCTTCTCAGCGATCTTTGTCAACTCCTTGTGCTCCCAGCAGATTAAAATGTTATCGCTGCCGGTGTAGTCCTTCACCAAGTCCTTGACACACTTGGTGTCCTTCTTCGAGCAGGATGTATCGACAGTGAGGCCCAGTTCCTCAGCCAAGGGGAGAACCGTTTCATATGCGCGGTCGCGTTTTCCATCTGCGAATCTGTTAACTACTGATGGCTATTTCACATCCGACAATCAACCGCAAAATTGATGTACCTGACTTGGGTTGTTCTGCAATGATGTATCCAATGTCATAGTTGGAATCCGGGCCGAACACAGTCTTCAAGCAGTCGGCCCGCTCAAAACCCACAGCATTGAGGCCGGTGCTCCCGTTGCTGGGCTTCTCGCCGTGGCGAATTAGGTAGACGGTCGGCTCGGCAAGAGCGAGCGATGCCGTGGCCAAGAGGCTGAGAGACAGGGACAATGTGCTGTACATTTTACAACTTGATCGCTATTAACTATGCAAAGGTTAGAAATCACAGTCGCCCACTGTCCGGATGTCCTGCCCCTTATATATTAGTGGATATCCAAGACCAGTCAAAACAGCCCCCACCAGACGAATCATCTCTGAGTTCCCTTGCCAACAAGGTTTCCCCCGAGAAACATGCACCATCTCCCGCTGCTACGAATGGGGTTCGCCACGATGCCACTAGCACATTATGATTGGATTGGATGCTAGTCAAGCCTCGCACGTGGGACAATGCCCTGCCGGCAATGGGCCTGAATGACTTGTGAACTGTGATCCATGAGAGCCACTTCGCCGGTCGATCCCGCCCGCTAAAATCGTGGCCACCCAACTCCGGATCCTTCTCTCCCCAGCATTCTTGTGGGAGATATGCTGTCGTCTCCGATTGTTCCAACAGTTCAGAAGCTGGGATGGTGCCTTTTATTGGTTCAAAGCGGCCGCAAGGGTAGCGCCCTTTCTAACCATACAGATGAGTTGTCATAGTCGCGTGAAGACATCAGCGCCTCTCTACCGGTGGAGAAAGTGTTACTTTTCCCGGCACGGGTGGATCGTGGATGGGACCGCCCGTCCCGGCTGGCGGAGCCATCTCTGGACTCCGTCTCGAGGAGGTCTCTCGCTCGCTACAGATGCCAACCCCCAGACATACTTTGTACTGGGCGATCCTTTGAACATTGCAGATGACACCCATCGACTACCGATCGACCCGGAGATAGCCAGCCCGCCGCGACCGATCGACTGATCCTGACCCCAGGTGGACCAATCAATGACCCACAAGTACCATGAAAAACCCCCCGTTTCCGATTATAGCCAGCGATACAGCCTAATAGCACGTTGTATAGGGGTGAGACCAGCTGAGTGTGCTCCTGTGAATGACAGTCTGAGTCAATAAAACAATCCGGAGAGAGCGATTGTCCAGGTAAACAATCAAAGTTTGTGCTTCGCCACAGTGTCCGGCCATACCTTGATGATGAATAACCTTGCCAAGATTGATGCTTGGTTCAAACAGAAAACATCGTTATGGTATTGCGCTGACCCCGGTGGGATTGACTTTTGTGTGGCGGACGTGCCATTTCATACAAGTGGTTAGGGAACGCCACCAGATCCGGATTATTGGGTGTGAGCAGCAAGGCTGGTTTGCATGCCAATAAACCTACCTAATTTTTACAGACATGATTAACTTGGTAGCACACAGACCGCCTTTCTGGGCACCTTCCATCTCCGCAAGTTACGCCTGTTGATATGCAAGATTTGTTTTGTTCAATGACCAAGGTATGACGCACACCTGGGATGATCAATTGCAGACCCCGAGGAATAGACTAAATCCACTTCTGCCATCCTTCTCCGTCATCTCAAGGGGTGATATTTCCAGAAGGATCAACCTTGCTTAATCGCTAACGTAGCTGAAAACCTCCCCATATACGTCCGTGCCTTCCGAAAGTCTGATAAAAGTGACGATGAGATTCACCCACTCGGATAGATGACTGAACCAAAGGAAAGGCTTTGCTGCAAGGTAGGCTTCGCTGCAGGTAAAGTTGGGCAGAAAACAACCTGACGTCCAGGCATGAGACGGTATTGGGGATAAGGAAGTTCTTATAGGAGAGGAACAGTACGAGTTGGAACTGTCCAGTGGACAGCTGTAGTAGGTATAATGATTGCTAAGAGTAGTAGCCAGTATAGTATGAGTATTACGCATACCATACCTAGAAACAGTAACGAATCTTTGCCGGCTCTATTTCTGCCGACCAGGAAGTACACCGCGCTACCAGATCGTCATCTTCAGAATTGTCTCAACGGCCATGCTCCGGGTCTGGTACTCATAAACTGCGTGCAGGAGTTTCGACACGGTGCAAGCAGCTTGAAGAGTCACTAGGACTGGCACGTAATTAACACAGGCTCCTATAACTGCTTCGGCCTCCGGTAGCCCCAGATTGCGGCCGTTGACGAGCTGACCGAAGACTATGTTATCAGTACTGGCCATGTGCGTCAGGCAAAGGACCCAAGCTGTTTTAGATGATGGTGGCCATAGTGATCCCAGGCGGGTGCTGGCAGGTGAAAGATCTCTGTTATACTTATCATAAGGCTTCTGCGCTTGTGAGAAGGCGGAGAACCTGACATTGATTCAGAAACGAGATAGGTCATGCTGGAACCTTGGAGTAAATCGCGCCAGAACTGGTTTGCTGTGAAGGAGCATTGTAGGTGCGGATGTATAGGTACTGCGGAAAGTCCACCTTCGCGGGACTTAAGAAAATCCCCTGTTATGCCCGGGCAATGTACTAGAACAGGCGAGACCTACTGAGCATGGGACAATCGGAGGCCATTAAAGCAATGGTGGGCCCCATGATCAAGCGAAGCTGAGTGCATAGCTGGCCGGGAGCAATGGGTATGGAGGAATCCTCGCGACAAATAGATTCTGCTACATTAGCCGGATTCCCATCGGTATTCATTCATGATCTTCACCGGTACGCTGGCAACACCTAGAGTTACCTGATCTGTAGACTCGTCGTGAAGAAAGAAGACTGTTCGCAGTACGGCATATTTCGTGGAAGCAGCTTGAACCGCATGCTGAAGACGCCGGCAATCGATCTTGGCATTGAGATAAATCCAAGCTCTCTCATCAGAAATAGGCAGTTGGCAGAAGTTGGTCGATGGTGGCCGAATCCATATTCCATTTATCGGTAATCTCCTTCACATACTTCTCGCATAATGCAGAAAGGGGCTGCGGCTGTGTGCTTTTTTGGCACCTGGGTCTGGCTGCGATGTCAACCGCTGATCGTACAACTTTACCTGGTCATCCGGACGTACAAGCCACCCAGTACTGACGTTTGGGACGCCGATTATCCGCGGTCTAACGGTCCGATCACACCCATAACTGGAGTGCACTCTGCTGGGCCATGTGCGCTCAGAGGACAAACCTTATTATGCCAGACTTCAGTGTTCCTTGTAGTGACGGTTCCCCGCCAAGAACTAACGTCTCGAGGTACAACGACTCGCTAGGAGTGCTGACGGGCGACAGTTGGGGTCAATAGTACCCAAATGGCTCGCACAAGCTTCGCCGTGAAGGCCAAGTGCCCCATACATTTAGTTTATAAGGCAATGCAGAGATAATCTCCTGACAGAAATGCGGCTATAAGATCGATTATTATCGCATCCCAGGCGTGGGAGGCAAAATGTAGAACATGCGATGTCGGCCGTGACTGGGGCCGAGTAGCGAGGGTATCCCACGAAACGGAAAGGGAAGCATGCTTGACAACAGCCCCTTTGGGTTTTCCAGTCGAGCCAAATATGAAGATAATGTAGGCGGCGCTGTCCACCAACATGAACTGTCTTAGACAGTGAGGAGTTGACAGTTTGAGTCCACAGGCGGCCATCTTCGATTTGCAATACTGTCGAGCACAGGCTGTTTGCTTTAAGAGCGGGTACTTTCATTTGCAATTGCCATTGATGCGGCAGATTGCTCTGCAATAGATTGCAAATGATTAGCTGGATGGGTGGCATCCGGAAGGTCTAAACCTGCCCCAGCTTTCCAGTTTGCCAGGATGGCCACCGGAGCCCAGGGGCTCCTTTCCAGACATACCAAGATTAGGTCCTCCAGCTAAACTTCATGGGCAGGGATCTCTTGCGCGAACCCTGACGAGAGCTGATCAAGTTGCTCGTAGGTCAATTTGCTATCCCATGCACAGACGGCGGGAGAGGATGGTTGGTCTGCGCAACGCTTACTGATGCTTTCGTATACCCATACACTTGCCGAAGCTGGTGGGTGGCTGCCTCAACTGCATGCGCTGTACCTGGCCCATATCCAGAGCATCAAATGATGTCAATTTTGGCCGTGGGCCACTCCACCGCCTCGCCTAGGACTTTCCAAAACACCAACTGCACACCGTGGACCCGGGAAGCATGGACCATGGATGTTAAATAAGAAATGTGCAGATTCATGCGGCTTGACGTGTTTGAAACGGTACAGGAAAACGCATACTCAGCAGGCTCTTGGCGAATCACTTAAGCTGGCAAAGGAGAGTAAATGTCTAGTGTATCGGGTCTTTGTGATTGCTTGTACTGCAATGGTCGCCGTCGGCCGCATATATGATAGACTTTCTCCTTCTGGCGTTGGCGAGCACGATCAGGCAAATCACTGTCCCTGGTACATCAATGAAAACGGTGCGCAGCTCTCTATGGCGCTTGACCGCCGCATGCTATGCTCTTACCAACTTATGACAGTTGACCTTGGGTGTACTTGGACTTACCACCTCAAAGCAACAGATCCGCTGATACAGGCCGGAGTTGGCAATTCAGCCAGCCGTATGCAAATCGCGGTATTGTGTAACGAGGCTGGGCTACCAATATGCGTCCCGGATATCTCCCGTCACCGATAATATTCGCGTTGACATCATCATTCGACATCATCATTCGAGGGTCATTCAGTCCCGGTGGGCAGATTCTTAAAAGCTCATAGCCAAGATGGATTTCTGCGCCCAATGCCGCCTACGCGAAAGACGCTTGAATAGATGCCAAGCTTCTGAAACGAGGGCCTCCAAAACCGGGACCAGGGACCCTGAAGAACAACTTTCAAGTCTGTGATAGGTTTTGCTGTGGCCGTAGGGGTAGTAACCTGTATAATTTTCAATGTATAAAGGAGCAACTAAGGTTCGCGGACGAACTCGATTTGCCTTCCCATTGATATCAAAGGGTTTTTGTGCCACCGTCACGAACAGCGTCGGGATCATATAGAGTGAGATGCAATCCTGGAGGATTGCTTCAGCGTGTCGAACATTGTTGAGGACTGTGGTTGTTGGGAGCAGGAAGTTCGATTCAGCCTCTTTGAAGCCCGAGCCCACTGAGACGATGAGGGCAACGAGGGTACATCGTCAAAATTGACCATATCAACAGCTACCTGGACAGCGCTCGATAATCATAGCCGAAAGTGATATTCCACCCCAGCGTGTTCGATCCGCTGCCTCTGTTATTTGATTTGTGAATCCCGACAGCCCATCTAATGCAGAGATCCGTCGGAGTCATATCGAGTGATGTCTCCTGTGCGGTAGATTCGCGTGTGGACCAAACCCCCGTAAATGGAGCGGAGCCAGCGAGGCAGTCATGATGAAAATGTATCTCTTGAGCGCCGAGGATCGTTGCATATCTGAAACCAACGATTGGCCCTTCAACCAGGAGTTTTCCTGCAGCACCAACTGGCAAAAGAGTGTCATGGATAGTAGATCCGAATTTTATTGACACTCTTTTGCCAATCTGATAGGGTCAGGATCGGTTCCAGGCCTCATGCTTGAATTGACTGAACAGACCAGACCTCATTCCGATGGGCTGTACGTGCATATAAGCTTGACTGAAGTGGCCCACATTTCTACTATGCTTTTTCTGCAATGGTCCACCCGCAGATAGTAAGTCTGTAGTGTCAGACTGTATTAGGTGAAAGTAGGTGAATGACCGATGCTGATGCAGCCATTGATACACCAGCTCATCCAACTCAGAACAAGCCGCAATCCTGCCTTTTGTCTGGAAGCATAGCCGGCCCGACTCGAATTATTTGCGGAGAACAATGGCCCAGTTGCTGCGAAACAGCACTATTAGATCAATTCCCTTTCGGAGGCAGGTTTCTAGGAGGATGGTGACGACGTCCGGGGGGTTCTCCCGGGTGTGGAGTTCTGTGTTACCACTAGCGTTCGGAGGTACCAGCGCGGGAAATACCCCAACGGGTATGTCTTCTTGACTCCCTATTATCTCCCATAAAATTTTCTTCCCTGCACAACTGTGGTTTACTTGACTGGGTGGAGATGAATTTGGGGTATCCCAAGGAAAAGAGGAAGGAAATCTTGTCCGGCAGACCATGCGCGAATCCGCTGAATAAGTCCATGGCAAGCCTAACTCCACGTACCTTGATCTAGGTGTGTATCTTTTACTTCTTTTAGACTTCACCGGAATTCTCCACGGATGTGGCTGATGTCGCCAATGAGAATACTTCGATCCAGGGCGAGAAGTGGAGTAGGATTGCATCCGGCGCGATCTGGAGATGTCCTCCCTTGCATTCCGATCCAACAATTACTGCATGCGTCGCGCGCCATAGTCGAGCCTTAGTCGTGCTTCACAGGAAAGAAAATCCAAGCATTGCCCGGCTTTCACCACTGTGGTATGTGTGCGTGCCTGACCTGGTTGCTCCCACGGGATTACCATGTAGCCTGGATGGTTCATCCTTTGTGGCAAAATATGAAGACAGCTAATTGCGCAGTATCCGACTCAGGAATGTCTCAAGGGAGAACCCTGGGATCTCGTTTGCAGCTGGGAACAGCCTCTACAATGTCTGCTACTTGATTTGGCACATTGTAAATGTCTCGACTGGACGTCGATCCAACGAGGTCTGACTGTCTGAACTGGAAGGATATTCGTATTGACGTTTAAATGTCGGCCAGATAGACCGACAAGAGGACATTCCTTATTGAATTGCAGTCCGCTCTACTCTCCTTTCATTATGCTCCGTCGGACCACCGAAAAGCTTCAGAGCGACAATCCTAAATGCCGAATCGAAGTCGCAGAGTGTGACAATGGCTAGTATTAAACCGACTGGACGTTAATCCTGCGAGGATGCAGGATTGACGATCCGTGAGAGCATCTTATGGATGGGGTTGCCTTCCGGGCCAACATCATTCTGGCTTTCAACAATTGAGCTACCTGCAGATGGTGAAATCAACCCCCAAAGTTGTACAAAGTAGCAGGCATCGGAGATTACGATCGGCCTCGGAGTTCTTTCTCCGCGTTCGGATGTCCATGGATTCGAGGACATTGATACAGCACTGCGCGACTTAAGACTGTAATGGAGAGGTCTTACCAATGAGGCATTTTGTTCTGTGCGGGTTCTCCAGGGTAGAATGATGAAAACAATCCGCATTATGGCGACAGAAGCGATGTTGCATTCTGACCGCGGTAAATTCCCGTCTGACATGAAATCAATGGCAAAAGGCACAAGTGACTGGACAACAGTCTCGAGCCGGTCTATGCTCATCCATCAGGCGATCGCCGGAACGGCAGGGACTCACCTATTGCCGCGAACCCAGGACCATAGAATTGGGATCACTACCACAAGTTGGCTGGAACCTTCGCCGCCAAAGCTTGTTCGAGGCCAATAGAACCGGACGCAGAGACGAGTAATGATGCGTGAAGAGCGGACAGTCCATATGGACTGGGGTATGAATAGCGCATCTGCCGTCACGGAGGTACACTCTTTCACCACCGGGCAGGCAGCGAGAGCTCCTGCATCAGATTAGGAGCATTTCTTTTATGTAATGGAGAGCGAATGCCGGCTCCACACACTTCCTAACAGTATTCAGGCCGGTGCCCATCCCTGCCCTCCGTGATATCCGTCCGACGTCAGAGTATGGCGTAGCGACTCAATGGGGCCGAGTTCCAAGGCCAGAGAGGATCGTGATACGAACTGCCGGCGTAAGAATCTCCACACGAGGAGAATCCGGGGGATGAATAAATGGCGCCCCCGCATTGGAGGTGAACCCGGCCTGTCCATAGAGGAGGATATCTGTTAGGTAATAGCGGGGATGGAAAGGCAGCAGCATGGTCCATCTTCTGCTCCCGA